TTAGAAATTTGAGATAGATAGAAATTCTTGAGAAAGTTCTTGGATACGTTATTTTTTACGACTTGTTAATTTTATATGAATCTTGGCTCGAACTATAGCATGTTCTGACTCATGGCGATCACCAGTTTCAGTGTCTCGATAAGAACCATTATCAAGTACAGAACTCTTGCAACTGACTAATTAATATATGGTCAATCTGATTGGAATATTGGTTGTCCAGAGAGTTCCACGTGACTAGATTTCTTCGATGCCGAAAACACGTATTAGTAATAAAGAGTTCATACCCTTCAGCAAAACGAAGGCGTTCTTTATTGGCGCACTGGTCCCCGACGCCATGTTTGCCAATTCATCGTAAATTCATCTTAACGGAATCATGATCTATCCGTGCATTCCAGTCTTCTCCGATTATAACCTTATCACCTCTCGGTAGAAATGTTGTTAACAGTTGAAACTGCTCATAGAACTCATTCTATCGCAGTTATCTGCATAAAGTTGGATACACTGATGACCGAAATATTGCAGAACTTTCCCCTGAAACGCACGTAGGCCATATGGCCATCCATTCAATCAGAGCGGATCGAACCTTTTCAGACATGGCAATCGTTACGCTATTTCGTCCCGAGTTATTCGAAACACCATAGTGATATAGACAATATGTTTGCTCGGAACTAGGTTTAATAATAATTATTCGAGAGCCGACATAGGAAAACGGACCTCCGACAAATAAGCCACATCTACGCAGTATTTAGAAGTGGTGTAGATAATGAACACTTTCTTGTAATATCCATAAGCCTTCTGACGTTCCAAGCAGCTCACCAGCATCTCGCCGCGCTTATAAAAGTGTTAACGAATAGGTTCCCTTGACGCGTTTTGAGTAATATCTCGGTTCGCGAGTAAATTTCTATGCCTTGGAATTATTTTATTATTATTACGCGCAGATCGTATATTTATCTCATACCACCGGGTCAGAATTACCATGCGCGTCGGAAGACGCGGACGTCGCTTCAAAGAGACTTTACCTTTTCACCATAGAGTCACTTGGAGATAAAGATACAAGTGGGTCCCCCGTAGCCACACAGATTTTTGATAACATGACAGGTTTGCTCCTGTTTACTCCTGTCAATGCCGAAAAATAGGGATAATCAAATTTAAAAAGAGAAATTTAAGGACAATTAAAAGAATTTTAAGAAAAAAAGAAAACTTGATTCGTAGAAGAAAATAATATTATGATAGTAGATAATAAAAACAATTATAAGACAATAGTATAATATAATCAAATGACAAATATCTTCTATGAATTTATTGATTAATGAGCAGAGCACTTTTTCGGCACAACCTCTCATAGAGAAACTCACCTAATATCTAGATTACATAATTCCAAACCTTTGCAGTTATTTTACACTCCAACACTATAATATAACTTTATGGCTCATACAAAAAACAAAATAACCATTTGCATTAAAAGAAATAATATACACTGAAAATTATGAGATGATCTAGCACTACATATATAAGCATGGTCAAGCCTTAACCTCAAAACGCTAAATGACCTTATTAAAATAAGATGTCAACAACTGCTTTATGTTAATTCTTACACTAAACAAGGCAGCAGAATGAATGTAATCAGCAATGTGTTCTTAAAATTAGTAAAAAATAACATTAATAATAATAAATAAATAAATATAATGATAATAACAAATAATAACAGTCAATAATAATGTCTAGTCCGACAAGCCAGCTGAGCGGATTAAATCAGTAATGGTGAGTACTAATAAAAAAAATTAATAACAATAACAATATAATAATAAGAATAATTAAATAAGAAATTAAGAAGCATTTAATGATAAAGAATGTCGAAAAAAAAGTTGTGTTTGTCTCTTCTCAATTATGCTTACTTTATAAAAAATTCCATCTGTGGGTATCTATGGTATTCCTAGTGGTGTGCTCTTCTGAATATAGATGTTGTTCTTGGAACCTGCCATTTTTCTAGGTTAGGGGCCACAGTTTATTTCCAGTGCTCCAATTATCACTGGGATTTATTTTGGCCTTTACTTTCCACATATTCTCTAGTTTCTTTTTCAGCCCCTGGTATTTCTTTAACTTCTCACTTTCCTTCTTCCTAACATTCCTATTACTTGGTATTACTATATTTATCATTAGTGCCTATTTCTAATTCTTGTCTACTGCCACGATATAAGATTGACTGGCTAATATTTGTCCGTCTGGATGGAGAAATCCCACAGGATCTTTGTTTTATTATTCTCCACGATTTTCCACGAAGAATCTCATAACTAGTCTTGGAAGAGTCTAAATCATATGTTGCTTAATGATTAATGTGTTACCTTTTAGTTCACCTTTTTCCAACTGGTAGGGTCTCTTAATTTCAGCTGCTTCACCTATCCGTTGATGGCATATTCCATAAGGGATCATGCTTTCCGTGGTATTTCCTCTGCTTGGTCTTTTTCCATCAGCAGGTCATCCTTTGGCACCATCTTGCTGATATATTTCTGAATGCTTCGCGTTTCGTTCAAGACAGTGGCTTTCACATAGCTCTCACCTGTCTTCGTTCCAGCTGGTGTATAACCTTTTGGGTTAGACTTGGAATGGAAATTTCGTGCATTGAGAGAAGTTTCGGGGCCTTCACTTCCTCCATGTCTTCCTTTGTTCATCTTGCTATGCTAGCTGCGTATCTGATTACTGATAGAGCATATATGTTTGCGACATGGATTTTGTTCCTTCCAAGTGGCTCTTCAGGATTTGTCTTATTCTTTGGTGATACTTATTTTATTCTCACACTTCCAAAAAGAGATGCAAGAAAACCATCAAATATAGAAATTACTGGCGGAGAATGATAGAAGGGAGAACAAAATCGAAAAAATAGAAGATCGAAGCCACAACCAATGAATAATTTAATCTTTTCCTTTTCCTCTCATCATTTCGTTGGCTCCAGTGAGAGAATATTTTGCCATTCAGAATAGAACTATAAGATGTGGATTTCATTTTTAATAAAAGGTTTAATTCTGATAAGGAATAAGTCTTGAAACTATGATGTCAAAGCCGTACTATTACTATTTTCTTCTATCGTATTGATAAAGACAAAAAAGTGCGTCAATAAAATAGGGGAAAATGGCTATCGGAAAGGAAAGGAATATATTGATAGTGCTTTCTTAGTGCTATGAAATAAAAGTTACCATAATTTGGTGATGGTAATTGGCAGCTTCGTTGCATATTATATTGCTTCGACTGAGAACACTGACATGAGTTCACAAGCCGCTTGATAGGAATAAATCTGTCATTAAAAATGAAATCCGGTTGGTGTTGGGGAAATCATTTACCTGTACGTTAATCACCATGTGGATGATGACGAAGGGCATTAACCTAATACAGCCAATCAAACCAGAAATCATCAGTATTGTTAATGGTGAATTAATCAAGCCAGGATTTTGGGAGTTATATTTCGAAATTTTTTTACTAAAAATTACTTGGATTTTACATAAATATAATGAAAGTAATTTGAAAAATAGCAAAATGAGTCAGCTATTTGCATAGGGAAAATTTTAAGTGAAATTAACTTAAATAACATTCGCTAAAGTAGTTAACATTAACTTATTAATGAGAAGTAATTCAGTTGCTGCATAACAGATAGAACAAAAGTGGATAGTCAAAAAATGGATAAGAAAATTATTGATAGCAATAGCAAATTACTGATAAAGAAAAATAAATTCCATGGAAACTCATTTTATTTAAATGGTTTAATTGAAAATTTTTTAATTCTTTAGTTTTTTGAGTAATATTTCACTTTATTATTAATATTACTGTAATAAAAAAAATTTTTTTTATTGCAAAATTTAAAAAAATCGCTATTCCGCTTCTGTTAAAACCATCAATGAATTTTTTTGCAATTCTCCGTTTAGTAATTTTTTCTCAAAAAATAAATTTTCTTTGCAATTTCTTTAATTGTAAATTATTTAAAGAAATTTTTTATTTTTATATATTTCGGAAGAAATAAAAACAATAAAAGAGAGTGTGGTTGAATTTAGAAATCAGGAATTACCCTAACGTAGATTTCTGCCAAAAAGGCTTTTAACATTTTTAACTTATTTTCTTCGTTAGTTTCCTAGTTTTAAACTAAACTACTCAATTTATTTTAACTTTTCACGCTTTGGTTCGATACACCAATTGTTTATTGATATTTTTTACTTTTAATAATTCATTGTTTGTTAGCTACCACATTTCATAATCAATGATTGATGATGTGGTGATTATTTGGTGGTGATGTTTGACAAAGATGATGGTGATATAATGGTAATGATGTTTCATAATGGTGACAATGTTTGATAATGATGATGAATGATGCTTGTTGCATGTTGCATGCATGCATGTATGTATATAGTATGTTTTGATTTTTTTGCCTGTTATCTATTTTTAGGGAATTCTAACTGAATTTTATTTTTTTACTTAGAAGGTCTTTTATTTTACGTGGAGATTCTTATTTCAGCGTTTAGCATTCTCAACTATTGCGCTTTAGAGAGAAAATTCATTAGTGCATTTTTTCCAAACATTTAATGCACGAAAATTTCAAAAATATTTTGTACATCGTTTTTATCGCATTTTAAAAACGGAATTCCAAATTGAAAATTCAGAATTTCGTAACTTATTTACTTACTTTTTTTCAGATTATTTATATGAGAGTCTATCACATTTGCGAAATTTTATTTTTTTTTGCTCTTCAGATATTTGCTCAAGTAATTTTTTGCGTTTTTCCACTTCTTGAAAACATTCTTTTCTCTAAAATTGTTCATTATTTTCTTGGAGTCATTTTTTGCAATGAATCCCCAATGAATGAAGAATGAATGAAGTTGACTGATCGAAAAGGTAACAAAACAATGGAATGAATGTTGGAGATTATCGTATGAAATTGTAATGGTTGTGACTACGAAAGTCCATCCACTGAGGCCACTGCACTCTTCGTGCCACTCTTGTCATTTGAGTAAATTTTAATGGTAAAATTGCAGCAACAACAGTCGCAGTCATTACAGTGTGGAACGACAACATTCAATAAATTATCATTCGATCCAGCGACAAAATTAAGTCTTTTACCCTCAGCGAAATTAACAAATATTCTGTTGGAGAATATTATTGGATCGAATGATATTTGTTATCAGGTTAAGCATCACATCCCACCGAAAATTAAACATTCCTTCACGACATTTCAGGTAACAATTTTCTCTAAATGATTTTTTCCAGTAGTATTAATGTGGATATTGTTCAGTTTTCGTCAAATATCGCAGGGTCCGCGAAGTAAATTTCCTATTAAAAAATTCGGGAAATGGACCTAAAAATTCTCCAATTTTAATTTTTCTGAGATGATTTCTTTCACAATAATTAGCTTTCAAATTTTCACGAATTTTAATTTCTTTAAATTGATTTTAAATAATTTGCTAATTGATATTGATTAATTGATAAAAATTGATTTAAATAATTTTTTATATTTTTTTCATTTTTGAAAATTTAAAATTTTCATTTTTTAGCAATTAATAACGACATGTTTGAACTGTACAAAATGTTCATCAAGTTTAGCGAATATTTATCGATATTTACATGAAATATTAAAAGATGTAAAAGTGTCATTAATTGTGGTGATACGTGGTGTAAATCATCGACAAATAAATGATATTAATGAAGAAAAGAAAGTACGATTTGCATTCATCGAAGATGATGCACCATTATCGCTTGACGATTGTCAAATTATTGATGGTAACGAAGGTGATGCGTTGAAAAGTTTTTCAAAAACTTCTGTACTCTTCGTTTCGATATCTTTTATCATTTTAATGGTGATATCGCTTGCTTGGCTCGTCTTTTACTATATTCAAAGGTTAGTTATCTTATTTGCCAAATTAATTGCTATTGAAAGTGTTGAGGGCCCATCTGTATTTCTATTCTGCAAATGACTCTCTGGCAAACAGATCTCATCCTAATAGGCAATGGAGTTTATTAAATTAGAAATAGCGAGTAATATTAGAAGAAAAGATTGATGGAATTATATTTTTCGAGTTGGCCGTGAAGATATTTGAGTTAAGCTATCCTTGATAATGCTGATCACCATCATCTGATAAATATAATGAGATGAAAAAACCAATAGATGGACATTTTAAATAGCTGATAGTTACTATAGGTTATCGATAATGGTGCAGAAACAAGTTACTTAGTTGGTGAAAGAGGCGGACATTTGCTAGACAACACGCTTATCAATGAGCTGATCGACACGTAACAAATGGTCATTCACTCACCGTTTCTGGTTATGTTCGCTACATTGGTTGTTAGTAGGCTGAAATAACTTTGTCATTTGGGGACAGAAGTAAAGATGGGCCAGCAGCACCACACGAGTTTTTTAATCATTGGTTTACAGGGTTGGTCGAAAAATATAATGGTGATTTAAGCAACAGTCGCATGCTTGTTCTGCTCTTGATCTAAAAAATTAATGTAAAGAATGTTCAATGTTCAAGAAAGATCATACTAATCTCATATTAGAAAACTTTTAAAAGATGAAGATATAAGATGAAACTTTTAAGATTTCGATATGCACATGCAAAAGATCGCCTACAGAGGAGATTATTTAATGCTGCGAAGAAAGCTTTAACAAGAATTCCGACGAGACAACTCCGTCAAGATGACAAAGATCTTGATTCAGATTGCCCAGTTTGCATTGACCCCTACCGTAGCGGGGATTTGGTTCGATGTTTGCCATGCAGGTGAGCCTCCTTAAAATTCTCTCCATTTTTATCTTCACTCACTACATACTGCGTTGTATTGCGTTTTTAATTCAAGAAAAGAACAGTGAACAATGGGAAATTAAATTTCAGACATGTTTTCCATAAAATGTGTGTAGATCCTTGGCTACTTGAACATCGCACGTGTCCAATGTGCAAAAGCGATATTCTAAAGGTTAAGATAGGTTAAGACATTGAGAATTTAAATTTTTTTCTGTTCTAATGTATTAATTTTCTGGAAATATTTCGAATTACTGGAAATACTCTCAAAGCAAAATTTTAAGGCCTTCGGTTATCATGTATCATTAAATCGGAGAACACCAGTTAATAACCAAATAGAAGAATCTCAAGTAGTAGCAAATGATCGACTCAACGTTGATGTGCATTCGACAGGTTCCGAGTCGATCTTTCCATTTACAAATCATAATGATCTACAAGAACCATTCAGTTTTACGCCATCAGTATCATCTCAACTTGTACAAGTACGACATTTTCATTTTTATGAAACATCTCACAGTCCGAGTGATTGTTGACTTTCGTTTTGAGAGCTCATACTTGAGAGAAAACCTGTCATTAAAAAATCCAGATAATGCTATCGACTCACCTGTATTTTCATTGGCAAGTGACTCTTTTAGAAAAGATTTTCTAGCAAAAATCATTTAAGTATGCCTAAGTAAATATGGCCGCTAACATCTAATACTTATTTATTTTTGTGCCTTACATTAATGAATGTCAGTTCACTATTTTAAATTTTAAAGGAATTTCCTCTCCAACTTTCTTAATATACAAAACTCAGAATATGATTTGATTTTTAAGGACTCTCTTCAGGGCATATAAATAAAAACGAACATACTAAAAACAGCTCGGACAATATATAGAAAGGTGGCACAATAAATATTTTCCTTTTTCTTATTTGCTTCTCGTCCTTTTTCCGCCTTTCTCTCCTCCACACTCTCATCGATATTGTTTCCTGTCCCCACTACCATTTTCTCATCAATAGTTTGTTTTACCTGTTGTTGATCGTGTAACTAACCTTCCTTCATGTTTTTATCTTCTTTTATGGTCATATTTCTTAATGAATAAGTGGGTAAAATGCGGAAATCATCGTAATAAATTTTCATTTCTCCTATTTGGTCTGTAGGGGAATGAAAAAATCCACAGTTTCTGTCGTATTTGTCAGAAGAAAAATGATTTACACATAAAAATTAATATCAATAAAAATCATTTAGCAGGTAATGCATAGCTCAAATGCCAGTGCTTTTTCAATAATTCCCCTAACTGTTCATAACGTTCCGTTATCGACGTCTCGTAACTTACAAACGAGCATTCAAAGAGGTAATTTTCTTTCTCTTATTCTGTGAACTCCAACTTATATATCAGTCATAATGTAATCGAGTGCTTAAGACATTTTGCCTTTAAAGCTTTTAATTAGACGGAGACGGAGAAATAAAGAGATGATTCGATTAGCCTCAGATTTTTAATAGCCTCAGATTTATGCCTTGTTACCTTTAAATTAACCGAATCATATATAAAAAAGCACATACACATAAATCTTATATTAAATATTTGAGATATATTTCTGTTATGTCGGATGAGATGAGATGAGATGGAATGAAAGCTTTACTTCTAAGGTGACGATCTTTCAACTGTGAAGTAAAGTTGAAATAATGATGGCAGCGCAGTAAGTGAAGAAATATGAAACTCAATACCTCCGAGAAATATAAGAGACATATTTCTGAGATAAATAATAATACATTGAGTGATTCCGGCAGAGAGATCATTACCTCTCTCCGTTAATGATTTTAAAGGAAATGACCGACAAAAATGTCAATGCTGATTAGCAACCGATTTCTCACCGCCAGAAAAAAATCACAAGAGTGTGTCAAAAGAAATATTGCATGAATTGAAACCAGTGATTGATTTTGTGGGTTCGGTTTGAATTGGCGGCGGTAATCTTCGAATTCTCGCTAATCGTCGGGTCAAGTGCTCTTTGATTCATTTCGTTCTATGCTGGGTGGTTCGTTTCATTTTCCGGAAAATTAAAAGTCTTTAAAAGGATATTTAATCGTATCATCAGTGGTCAATTATTCAGTTATAGAGTTGGCATATCTTATGAAATCTTTTACATTTCATTTTTATACTCGTATATTCCGGTCCTCTGGCCGATTTGCTGCTTCCCATTTGCTGCTTTTTCGCTGATTTTTGTATGGTCATGGAGTATTTCGAGTAAAAGAACGATTAATACCATCTAATGTTATGGTTTTCCATTTGCTTATTTGAGATAGATAGTTAATGCAAAAGATCTAAAGGAAAGATCTAAGTTTATATTTTCCTTCCCATTAATGTTTCTGCAGGTTTGATGTAATTTGGGAGGAATGCATTTGGTGCGCTTCTCTAATGTAAAAGAGACTCCAAATTTTCTGATACTGATCATTCTCCTTTCGTTTTAATAAGCCATCTTGAATATATTAATGAAACGCGCTGTTTCACCATTGGATTGTGGATAGTGAACCGAAGTACTGATATGGTTGATATAGATTGATATGGTTGATATGGTTGATATGTTTCTCATTGAATTCTTGGATAAATAAGAATTAAACTGTGTTTCGTTATCGCGAATGGTAACTTCAAGGTAATATCCCAAATCGTTAATGGTAATATCCCAAGATGGGTAAAAGCTTGTCTTAACGTTCTGAATGTGATGGTGATGAGCTTCATCTTATAAATTTCTGGTCATCGAGAAAAAGCATCGATAATCACAAAAAAATAGGATCCATAGACTAGTGTGGCCTAAATAAAACTAAACCACAGTTTCGCAGGAGCAAGCCATGATTCAAGTTGGATATTTTTAAGGGATATTTCACTGTTAGTTGACTTTTTCCGCAGTACCGCACAAAATCCATATTTTTTCGATAAAGGGCCAGTAAACGTGAGCCTGAGCAAGAGTTTTCTTTCTTGTTACTCCTTGATGACCTTGATAAAGTAGGTCCATGATTTTTTTATTGAAGAGCTGATGGTATGACGATCCTGGTCATAAAATCTCCATCTGTTGCTGGAAAATTTTTTCCTTTTGTGAGATTGAAAAACATTTGCGCAAAGTTTTCACTCAGTTCCAAAAAATTATTCGATTACCTCCATCAATCAATTCTTTTTGGTTATATATTTATTTCAAGTTTGATAGGCTCCAAATCACATCTGTAATCAATAATCGAACATCAGTCATCGATTATCATTGCTGCGACTAAATATGAGTGGACGCCGTTTTTTCAGTTATATTGTCATTACGCGGGTAATTTTCTTTGCATTCTTCAGTCAGCTGATATTTGGTTCGCTCGATTTTAATCGGACTAGCGTGCCCACTGGCGAAGAGAGTCGCCAAATGAATGAATTACAAAAGCATATGAATATTAAGGTTAAATTGTTCACATTCTTCATGGACTGTTTCACCAAAAGTGACCAAGTTTTTTTCTTTTGCCCTTTCTTTCGTAGAAATATCTCCTGTTAAGCAGTGATTTTTGTGGACTGAATAAGAGTATTGCGACATTTTCACTGAAAGACAGAGGTACTCTAGACGGAATGAAATTCGTGATTTTTGTGCGACGAGTTTTTTCAACTTGCGAAGGCGAGTCTTTGCTGATTCGTTCAGTTTCTAAATCCGAATAACGAATAAAGCACATATTGAATGATAGATTTTGGTTCGGACAAAAGTGATGGCTTCGGAAGAGTTTTGCTGCACCGACGATGTAGTTCTCGACCATTGCAACTCTGAGGCTTTTTCTGTTGATGTACTTAATAAGCGTGGAACATTCAGTGTTGCTCTACCAAGGCTTCTAACTACAGTTCTCGAGAATAGTGTCGCCACATTGCATTTCGGACCTCTGTATAAGTCGTTTATTCAATTCAGCGAATAAAAATTTAAATTAAAAATGAAAACAAAGAATTTTTTATGTCGGCCAATGTGAGTTTATGTCGATGGACGCAAAAATTTTTACTTTTGAGATAACATCAATTACTTAAATATTTTAAAGAATAACTTTAAGATAATGGCTACAATAAAGAAAGTCGAAGCATTAAGTCGGAAAAATATACATACCAGTGAAAGACCTGTGCATATACTTATACTTATACGTTATATTTACATATATCCCACGGTAACGTCGATATCGGCAGTATCGACTATCAAGCAGTATTGCAGTAAATCAATTATTCAACAGATTTTTATTTTTTGCAGATAATAAGAGTAATAATTTGGCGAGAAATATTGAACGAAAAAGCGCATGGCAGTTATCTTCATCAGAATTATCGAATACTTCATTAGCTACTTCTTTATCATCCACAACGAATTATCAACAATCACCAGGTCAAATTGTTAACCTCGTCAATGTTCGGTCACGCTCCATGTCTGTTTTAACAGATGCGACTTATAACGAGAAGCCTACAGCAACATTTCGTACTAGGACGGTTAGTTCGGGAATTGCTTCAATAAAAATCCCGTCGGAGAGTAATGATAATGCTATTATTGGCAGTGAATCAAAGTTGTCATTTTCTAATAATGTTAGTAATAATGATTATATTAATATTAATGTGACAGATTCTAAAAATACTCGACGGGTTTTACCAATTATAAATGCGAGGCAATGAAATGGAAGGATTTTTTCAATGTTGAACCATTACAAAAGGATTCTCCATTAAGTCCATATTTTTGTAGTTTTCAGTGAAATAAGCTATTCTCTTTTTTTTATATTTCTTTTTCATGAAGAATTTTCATTCACACCATGCGAAATATAAAGAGGAAACTGCGGCATCTTTGAGAATTGAAAATTCCTTCTCCAATCTTTAATTTTCTAATTTACAAGAGATTGTGGTAGAGTCGTTGTTATTTCGAGAACAAAAGTCGGGATATTCCCAGCTGATCCACGAGGTCCTTGAAATTTTTCAATTTTTCTTATGCATCCGTCTCATTTACGATTTGTTGACCCAAAAAATTAGCAGTCAGTCACGTATTGAAATGAAAATCTATTCCTTTCCATTGTATGAAAATGTTTTTCCTTCCCTGGTGGAAGTTTTGTTTCTATACCGAGATAAAAGTAATTTTACTGTATATTTCTGCTAAAGATAGGAATTGTATAGTATAAAACCACTCAGCATTTTGATCTCAATATTGCGATTTCTTAAAAATATTCATTTTGATATGTTTACAATAAAAGCCATGTGTTCCTCAATGAATGAAAATGAAAATGATTGTGTGCCATCAACTCGATTCCTAACAACCATTGAGTTAGACGACCGCCAGGACAATTTGGCCCTAACTTGATCTTTCCTCTATCGGAGTTCATCAACTCCGTAATTGAATCTATCCACCTTGTTGAAGGACGTCCTTATTTTTCCTTTCCTTGTGCAACAATTTTTTCTCCACAGAGTTGAACCTTCACATATATCCAAAATAAAACAATTTGAACTTGGTCATTTGTGCCTAAAGTCCATCTTGACGCAGAAAGGCCTTTTATTATGGGAATATTAAAAACAGTGTTGAACCCATTCCACTGTATTATTTCAAATAAATTTTTCATGCGTAATGCCTGCTTTGTTCTTAAAGATTAAAAAGAAATTCATTTCTCGAGCATTACAAAAAAAAATGATAAACAACAAGTTCTTCATGAAAGATAAATTGTAAAAATAAATTTTTTATTTCCGCAAGGAAATAAGTGCAAATTAAACCTAGTTAGGAATTTTCCCATATGCATTATTTTATTTCATGAGTTTCTACGGATATTAAAGCGCTTTTTATATTTTCCACAATAATTCAGAAAATTATACTTATTTTTTTTCATTTAATGACCTTTTCATTTCATCTTGAAGCATTTTAAGCTTTTTTGAGAAACGCATCATAAAAGCAGAATTTTCCGAAAAATTCTTGGTTCGATAAAGAGCTGAAATAAATAATCGAGCAGCTGATCGCATCAATGAAGAATCTGCCAACTGTAAATTCAATGATATTCAATGCAGAAAAAAGATATCCACATTATTTTTCCACATATTTAAAACAAATCAAATATTTTAAAATTTTTCCATCATAAAAAGAAAGCAGCAATAAAAAATTTCTGAAAGCATTAAATTTATAATTTTTCCCAAAATTTCCAGTAAAAGAAAGGAAAAAAATAAAAATAAAAAAACAAACAAGAAATTAAATGAAAAATAAGAAGAATCAAGCAATCGAATTCATGAAAATCAGTCCATTTAATTTAATTTAATTTAACGATAAATATGTAGAAAAGAATTTACCCGTTGAATAACTCGTTCTTGATTGAGAAAATGCCTGTAAATATGTAAATATAGAAAAAATATTTTAAAAATGCCTGTAATTACACGAAGATTCCATGGAAATTTTTAATTTTTATCTGATTACCACAAAAAACTTCCAGTCTTCCAAGCTTCTATGTTTTCGAATTTAGCGAGAAAACATCCTAAATATATATCTTAAGTAGGCCATTCTTTATCTCAGTTTCAATGATAATAAACCACACAGAATAACCATTCATAAGACTCGAATCGAAGACCTGAAGCCATTCTGGAAATTTATCTATGTTCTGCATCTTAGTTGGTGAAGAAAACTAAGCCAGAAAAGTGGATCATATCGAAATATTTTAAAAATAATGAAATATCAAAATAAAGAAAAACCTTATCCAATGATGAAACATTTTTCGAAAAGCAAAATGATGTGCAAGTTAATTTTGAAAATCTGGAAAAAATAGATCATCTGCACCAAAAATTAAAAAAATCGAGTATTTTTATCACCACGGTTTATAATGAATCTAATTAGCAGGCCGAAAGTTCCATATTCTCTAAGCATTGTAGATTATTCTCTCAGCGAGAAATGAAATCTCATACATGTCATATAAGCGTCAGGCATCAAACGTTTGTCGTAAACAGATATTGATAAGAAGAAACGCTTATCACAACAATAAGTAAAAACAATTCAATAAACAATTCCAGAAAAAGGATGGCGGTAGGATGGCTTAATGGGTTACTATTCTTATTTTGGACTATCGATGCTTAGGCTCTGGCAAGAAAAAATTTCTTTTCCAAAAAATCTATTAAGATAGACATGTCCATTTTCTATTCTACCGTAACCGTGAGTTGTTGCACAATTCGGAGCGCCGATGTGAAATTATATTACTGGCAGGTGTAAACCTATTGTTCCAAAAAAATATCCAAGTGATGCTGGTGCCTCACCTGCATACCTGTAATCGAAGGACTGACACATTTGTCTAATTCGACGAGCCACCGAAGCAAATATAACCAGTAATGGTGAATGCTCTTTAAAAAAATTAATAAATGTTCTCTTTCATCATATTAGGATGGATCCTTTGACACATGTAAGAATTACCCTACTTACCCTACTTTCAAAATACCCTACTTTTCCCTCTCCAGTGAACCTAGTTACAGAGCATCTACTGGAAGTAAAATCAGTTTTAAATCGCTTAGTGCCAAAACTATGGTATGAAATAGTGTTAGCAAGGGAGAAAGTAATCCGCGGCCAATTTTGCAATTTCGCAGCCCAATCAGAAAAATTGCAGAAGCGGCCGTTGCCGCTATTCTACTTCCGTTATTTTTGGCTTGGCTTGCTTTAGCAATAATATTGTGATTTGAAATTTTCGCCTTAGATGGTGCACAGGTGGCTCCCTGGTTATCCAGACGAAATTTGCAATTTTCTGTCGAAAACGAGAGTGGAACTGTTTCCTCTCAACACGATGACTACCCAGTGGCTCGCTGTTCTGCGCAATTTTAAGGCCTATGAATTTTTGTTGATTGTAACCGTTTATTAATGCCAGAAAATATTTTTACTAGACAATAAACAAATTCAAAGATCTTTCAGACCAATTATTCTTAAAATGTAAAATATTTGGTGTCTTACGGTTTTATGGATTTGATTGTGGCTCTTATTAAAAGAACACAAAAAATAAAAACTATTATAAATTAGCCAAAAGTACCATAAAATTATAACATTATTACATTAAAAAAAAACATCCAACCGCTCATAAATTCTTTTATTGGTTTATTTCAATCTTAAATGTACATATTAGTAAGCATAAACCAATGCTGCAACCAATCTCTTTTCTAAAATTAATAAAAAATAAAAAGATAAAGGCAAAAAAGAAAATAATAATCATACCTGTAAACTCATTAGGTTATCACACTTCATATTTCTATCTTTCATAAAATCGAAATTGAATAGCTCCTACTTGTCTGACACATTAGACTTACAATATGCGTCACCATGTGACAAAAAAGAGATACAAAATGAGAGATGGATAAATCACAAGTATGAAAAATAACAATATGGCAGAACAGATTTAATAGTGTACTTCACCCCAACCTCGAGGCGCCACACACTATCAGAAGAAGGTAACAGAAAGAACGAAAACAGTTTTCACAAAACAAAATATCTAAAAATATGAATATTCTTTATATTTAAAACAGAAATAAAATATGGTAACGATATTATCCAAAATCTATTTTTTTATTATCTAAAATTGAATACAGTTTCATTTAAAAGTTAGTTTAAAATCGACCGCTCCTGAATAGATTTTTTAAAAAAAGAAATTAGAAATTTACATTTCTAACCTCCAACCGAGAAAAATTAGCAGTTCAAAAATCTGGAATCTAAAATTAATACATTATACAACAGAAAATAAAATAACTAAATAAAATAACAATCCATACAATAAAATTAATTTCTAAATGAAAGAGAATTCATAAACACTAAAAACATTTGTATTTTAAAAATAAACTATTAAATGGGTGTCTCCAAATTTTTATTAACATAATAATTTACAATATACGTCACATTTTTACGAAAATTATCGAGATGTGCTTCAATATGATCAATGCAAATGTCGTCGATTCCTTTTTTGCCTTCGGCTAGTGTATTCAAAATCGTAGAACGATATGGAGCCGCTAATATAACCACCTAAAAAATCATATTTGGAGCAAAAAAGGTTGCATGTGAAGGTATACAAATATAAAAAATTTAAGTAAATTTAAATTGCAATTAATTTGAAATATTTTTAATGGCGGAAATTCAAAGAATTCGGTTATTAGTTTTATAAATGAAATAATCCATTTGTTTTCGCTAAAATAAAAAAGGTTTAAAAAACAAAAACCTTAAACAACTGCTTCGAAATGAATCCATGATGCCGTCTTAAAGTTGTGGCGTATGCTTCATTTATGATTCCAGCCAAACTTTCCGTTTTCGATTTATCAACACTTGAACGATATTGTTTTACCATTGCCGTTAAAAATTCCAACATAAATTCAAGTCCTCTGCAGAATCATTTATTTCAATAAATGCTCAAACTTTATTCGATTAAGCTGTATTTGCAAATTATATTAATGATAATAATGTAATAAATAATAATGAGACAACCCACTGAGCCATTCTGTCCCCAATTAAGCTATATTTACAAATTATATTATAATACAGATCACCACATTTATTTTATGAAATATACTATTAATGAACAATGACATTATAAATAACAATTCACAACATTTCCATTAGAAATACGGCAGTATCATATCTGCCTTCAGTCGTGGTTAAAGCGGCAGTAGAAAGATCGATTTAGGGAGATGAAAGAAATTTATTAGATTATAGATATAAAATAGTCAAAATAAATGATCAGTAATTCAAGATCGATAAAAAACGTGAATCAAAAAAAGGACAGAAGGGAGAAAAAAATAGAAAGAGCACGCAAATAGCATCTTGTTATATACACGATAACTAAAAAGTATTATCACAACCTCAAACCAAGCAAATAAGTGGTTGGTTTTTATAGAACTTCGTTGAGAAAAAGTCTTTGGCGATAAAACTGCCGCTACACCATTTGGACTTTTTATTGCTAGGCAGGGAAATCGAAACATGATGCAAATCGATGCAACTACATCACTCGATCCCTCCCTCTAACCAAATGATAGATCATGAATATAAATGTAATTGTTCATTATTCATTACAACTAAATATTTTATATACATACTTCCATTGCATTGCAACAGAACAACTTTCTTCACTGTTAATTCAATAAGACAACTTATTTGAAGAGAGTATAAAAAAAGAAAGTAAAAAAATGAAAGAAACCTTTTAAGCCAAAGCAATCCTTCCGTCGCTACATTTAACTTTCCTCCATTTAACAATAAATCATCATCGATCAAACTATCCAAATACATAAATTTTATTCGATTCGTTTCAAATTTTGTTCGAATTTTATGTACATTACCACTAATATCTTTTTGCACAGGAATAAATGCTGTTCCAAGAAATCCTTAAAAAAATTTTCCACTAGTTAAATATAAAGTTCTGATATGTAAATTTATAGATATTTTATATTACCATTGGGTTTTTCTTAAAAAATTTATACATTAAAAGACACAGCAAATGAATTTTCGTGAACTAAGACCGATTCAATTGTTGTTCGGAACGAATTTCTGAGAGCTTATATACTGTCCATATGTGGGTTGAATTTACAACGTCATGCAAATACACAATAAATTGTATAGAAATTATATATATTTTTCTCTTTTCAAAGGTACAGCTGTTTCACAACTGCGTCTAAAAATCTTTTTTTATTAGCAAATGGGTTGTTTATACAAAGGAAGAAAAAAGATAAATTTCGTATAATTTAAATATTAAATAGCTGATTCTTGCGAAGAGCCCTTTGTTGAGAAGAGTTGTTTTTTTTTCTAAAAAATTCTCTCCGACAATTGTAGTAAATTCCAAAATCCAATACGACTTAAACTAATAACAAAGGAGCTCATTATTACCGATTAATATGAACAAATTATAACTTAAAATGCTAAAGTTAAATCTCATCCTAAAGAAGCAAATAGTGGAAGGAACGAAAATGAAATAACGACGCGAACTTTGCAGCCCATAGCCTAATATTAAAAAAAGAAGCCTGGATGTGAGGAATAAAGCTTTATTATTAATATTCGCTGCACTTACCTCTTTCTCTCTCTCTTTCTCTCTCTCTCTCTCTCTCTCTCTCTACGGACATAGGGTACACACACAAGCATTAAAATAGGCTAATTATTATAAAAATATAAAAATCAGAAAAAAAATTTACCGACAAAATCAGCGATAGCTTGACATGCTTTAAGAAATTGTTCCGTAGGTATTTTACCATTTTCGATTTGTGGAAACATTCGATCTGAATGCGAAAAATAAGTCTCGACAACACCGTTCTTATTCTTCTTTATCATCCTCAATATATCACAGATTATCACTGAAACATCTTTGGCGCATGTCAATTGCTCATATTAAGGCGATTGTGGCAACGCATTAGGCCTGAAAACTGATGCTGCAACTGATTTATGATATGAGCTTCCTCCCTAAACCTAATTGCGATGTTTGGCTCAGAGCCGATAATGCTACCTGTGATTCTGAGAGCTTAACACGAAACTGACCTAAGTATTACCAAATCTTTAGCTTTACCCTAATGTCCGCATCTGATATTGACACTTGCCCTGAACAACCAATTCAAATACCTCTGCCTCGACAGTCTACCCAAACTCACCCAAATAACTGCATATTTATAGAATACCACATCAGAAAGAGTTACAGACTTTGCACCAGCAGTGAAAACAACATTTAGGACCCACCTCAACTCACCTACAAAGAACCACTGGAATGGGCCCAAGCAACCGATTATTCTCTACACATCCAAGACAAAAGACAAAAACGATCCAAAAATAATATTGCGCTTTTAAAATATCGATAATCTTGAAGCGATGAAGATACGGTAGTGGATGTTGTAAGGAATGAAGTGAGGGTTTCACTGTTCGATTGAGGTTGGTTGCTAAACTGGATCACTGATTGGGTGAGTGTTGGGAGAAGGAGTGGGGGCGGAGGGGGGAGGGTTGAGGGCAGTGATGTTTGTGTATGAGCTGGGATTTGAATTATCTGCCAGTCGGTTTGCTCGCTAATGATTTCTAATTAGTTCATATTAGTCCCATAGGTGCCTTTTTTCCGATTGTGATTTTATGCGGCTGTGGTATCCTTAATGTTCATTTTGTTCACCTTGTTTCTAAGTCCAGCTTTCAGTCTAATGCCTTTGACCTTTCGTTTTACATGTGGAAATTATAAAAGATTAATTTTATTTTATGGCTTTAAAAATTTGTTTGGCCAATTTCTTTGTTGAATTAAATATTATATAAGTTAACAGTTTTGCAGCATGCTTTTTGCTTTTTGCTTATAAACATTATTGATTTCTAAAGAAGCGGAAAAATAGAAACCCTTAGAAGCAGTTTAAATTGGTTTTTAGCGTTAGTTCTTCAGAATGTTCATTTTTCAGATTTTCTTACACATGTATTGCTATCGTCTCGCATTGCCAGTTCTCCGGTCTACTGCAATGGTTTTTTTATTTAATTTGAATTTTTACAATTATCACAAAATTTTTCGCGATTTATCAGAATTTTTCACTTTTGCGTTTACGAGTTCTGTCAATAAATAATGAATGAAGAAATAAATTTTCATGTATCTAGTACAGTTGAAGTGGGAAAAATTCATGAGTGGGTAAAATTTTTTCTATTAATGTTTTCAGGCTAGATCCATTATGCGTGTAGAGTCAGCTATAGCGAGAAGACTCCTGCATACTTCTATGGTTCGACCAGATATTGATAGCGCTGCGAAATATGTTGGTGCTGGCGCAGCGACAGCTGGTGTGGCAGGTTCTGGTGCTGGTATTGGCAACGTATTTGGTGCTCTTATAGTTGGTTATTCCAGAAACCCTTCATTAAAACAGCAGTTATTTTCGTATGCAATCCTAGGTTTCGCGCTTTCTGAAGCTATGGGGCTTTTCTGTCTTTGCATGGGTATGCTCATTCTTTTCGCTTTTTGAATAATATTACTTGAGCATTGAAGACGAAAAAAATCCCTCTTCAATTTAAGTAGTTGTTTACTGTTTTTTTTTCATTTCTGTACTCTGTATTTTTCTGAATTCGTTAATAATACTTTTAGATATTGTGCGACATAATTTTTATCCTCAAAAGTTGTTCGTGAGATCAGAATTTAGATTATATATTAGATCACAAATATATATTATGATAAAATTTGGTTGAAGTGCTTGAGAGATTAAATAAATAAAGTTTAAATAAAAGGCTCAGATTTTTTGAGGATCAAAAATTAAAATTTTTTAATTTATCGTTATCTTTATTTTTTGAGAAACAAAGTACTGCATAGACAAGCTATTCTTAGTTGGCTAAGAATAATGATATAATTCGAAACATAAAATTTTTTCGTGTATTCTTAAAATGGTGGCTTCATTTAGATTTACAATTGAGATTCTTTGTTGTGTTAAAATTTGATATTAATTAGAAAACATCTAGTTTGAAACAGGTTTTCTGCTCGCTTTCGATCATCTTCGTTATCACTGATAAGAACAATGTTTTCGAGTGTTTCAGTGTTCCAGAAATTAAGATATTCTTCTTCCCCATAAAACGAATGAAGTACCTTCGCTGATATGAATAGGTTTTTTACCTGGAAATGTTACTTCTATCTCGCAGTTTTTCAAAAATTTTTAGAAGATTGTTAGCATGTTTATAGTTTTTAATTGAAAATCTCAAATTTGATCATAATATCTCTCATTATCTCTGGTCTTGGCTGTTAGAATGTGATATTTTCGCTAGAGATAAAATTTAGATGATGATCAAGAATCATCTTAAATTCTGACAAATTTATTTCCATATAAAAATAGGGATTAATTAACCTTGTATAAATTAATAATTTGTGAAATTCTGGAATAGTCTGGATATGTCATTATACCTTCGAACTGAAACAAAATTGTTATTCATTTTTCGCTGGAGAAGGCGGCCAATAGTAAAATTGAGATTTTGCTACTTACAATAAGAAGTTGGTGACCACGGGCAAGTATATTTATCATTGCAACCATCTGTAGCAGTATATCGCTATCGAAAACCGCAAAACAAAGGCCGGGAGGTAGGTTTATCATGTCTAATCTTTCCATCTTATCATAAAGTTGTTGAAGCGTTCGTTTAATCAGTTTCACCTTTCCAGCATCACTAAAAGAGCTCATCGATTTTATATTTTTTTCCAATTAAATGTATTTTTGCGTTAGAAATATAGAATTGTTAACGAACTAGATTGCCTGAAGAAAAACAATTTGATCTTCAGTAATTTCTTGAGCAATGCAGTCGGTGTTGGCTTTCATAAATTCTTCACTCCAATGAAGATCACGACCTTCTTTCATAAATATCTGCAAACATCAAGGAAGTATAGCAAGAATTTGCGGATTTTTCACAGGTGTGCCAGGAAATTTTCGATGTGGTGTGTAAAAATATTTTAATTTTTCAATATGAAAATGATGATTTGCGAAATCGAAAAATATCTCTAAGAAAAAACCGAAGTGAGTGTATGAATTTATTGAATAATTGCTGTTTGAAAATAAACACTGGAAAAGGAAGAACCTTATATGGGTAATAAGGTCGTCTCGCGAGGACGTTTCGTTGTGGTTCGGGAATTCCTTTATTCGGACAAATATGCCGGATAACTAATATATTGCTTATATCCTAAAAATATTTCATTTTGATTATTTCATTGTTTTAAGATATTTTTTACCTTTATTTTATGAAAGAAAATTTTTATGTTATTCAAATATCTTTTAAAAGCTATTGTAGGTTTCTTCTCATTTCTAGCTTGGATGGCTCTGATATTGAAATACTGATTGTTCAACAGAATCATGTGGGGAATGAAATGTATAAATGAGTCCACAGCAATAGCTGGATGAAAGTTATTCGAATAAATTGAAAACTCCTGTAATGAAATAGGAATCGAGGCCATAGTGTCGGATCTCAGTCGAAGAATTTTAATACACCTACTCGGTCGTAGTTTCCACTAAAAATTTGAATAGAAATTTAAATGAATAGAATCGACCATTATAAAATGTGGAGAGAGTTTGCCTACTTTCTCAGAGCGTTCAACTGCTTCATCTACAGTATATTTTGTTCGATATAATACTGTGCCCTGCCAAAATCCGTCAATTGTGATTATCATAACGCTATCACTCTCTATGATAATTTTTGCCAACATTTCTGCATCATCGTCCACTGCATTCTTGAAATTATAATTTTGATTAATTTGAAATCTTGGTAATGAAAAAGGTAGACCCGTTAGATATTCTGCAAAATGGCTTCATTGGTTCTTAAAGAGCCAACGAAAAAATAGCTAGGATTGCCTTCATTCTGGTAAAGTTCCTGTGGCTTTTATCGCAGCGAAATAAATCTGAAAACGAAAGGTCGCATTTATCTGACTCTAATATTCGCAGTCATGGCATGCGGCTGCCAAACATAGCCAATGAGAGTGGAAGATCTCAGGAAGTTCCTCTTTGATCATATTAGCCTAAAATATCATTGGACATGTGAAAATTTCACTGAATTCATCCATCTTTACTTCAATATCTTTACATCACATAAATTGCATCGTCGTAAACCATCGCATCCGTTGATTATGATATGATCTCAGGAGTTGGCAGGTGTCTCAATAAATGCCAAACCTGCCGCCAAAGGCTTGGAAATCCACTCAGGAGTTAGGATGGCACAATCGAGAGAGAATTTGGACGTATGAGCGGTGCAGCAATATGCGGGCTTATTTAGTGAGGAGAAGAGCGGTTTCAATTAATTTCGGTCATGGCATCGCATGGAAGCGTCTTACCCTAGTTGCCACTGGATCCAGCCAAACCAACAATGGTGCAAGCTAGAAGAAATTTTATTCCTAATTCTTGAAATTAAGCAAATGTATATTGTGCGAGAATATATATTAATGGGAACGCATGGGCATTTTTTTCCAAACGAATCCATAAAATTTTTTCAGAGTTCAGAACCGAACAGGGAAAGGGGAAGCATGGATAACGCTGTCCCTTTAAAATCTAATTGATTGAATCTAATTTTGCTATTTTGATTAAAAAGCTGAGTTATCTGAAAAAATACTGCAAAATATATAATTTAATGTTTTTTTTTCATAGGAAATATATAAAGATGTAAAGTGAAACTATAGAAAAAATGTATTATAAGCATAAGCAAATGAATTTTTTGCATGCAGCGAAATTAAATTATGCGGAAAAATGAAAACAAATAAAAAAATGTATTTCGTAGATAGAAAACGAACGACTGGAAGAAATTTGACCCCGATTCGTAGCGATGCGAGTATCGCTATTGGCAGTTGTACAACATTTGGTAAATATAGAATAACAGTCCGTTTATCAGCACATTTCAAAACGTTCGAGCATTTATTGACGAGAATTGACAAAGTTTCCGATGTTATCTCGGCGTAGTCATACACGTTCTTGTCGTAATAATTACCTTCCCTTAAGTTTTTATAATATTATGCTTCTTATATGTATTATATAGTACCCCGATAACCCATTTGAGCAGCCCGGGCAGAGCAGCAAGGCCTTCGTGTATCGGGTCGGATGCGAGCGAAGTTGCCACAAAAAATCTGGATTAAATGGTGGACAAGTGGCTCTCTGGTAAAAATTTTTGTATAGCAGATCGAACCAGAAGTGGAAAATGCTTAGCACTCACTTTTTTTCAGCTGGAATCTTCAAATGAGGCAAATAAAATATTTTTTCTTTTTTCCTAAAAACGCTCACCATTTCTAATTAGATTTATTGGCTTGAAGGACCAGAAAATGACAAGTGCAGGTGTGTTGCTAGCATCAGGATTTTGCCAGGATTTTTGAAAGGTTTTATCTCCGTGGAAGTAGAATTCCAGCATTCGATGCTTCGAAATAAAAACCCAAACAACCCACTGAGCCATCTCTTCTATATGACAGATTTCCACGAGAGGTTAGCAAAGTGTTAGTTCTATCGAAACTTGATGGTAGAAGACTCGTCCATTTCCGAAACATAATTTACTCGCGTGAGCTTTTTTCTTTATAGTTAAATATTTAGTATAAAAATATATATAAAAATATTTAATCTTTATATCAGATAAAAAAACTTAATCTCGTCAGAGGATAGGAGACCGAAGCAACGCGCTTAACTTGATGTTTAAGCACCTCTTTCATACTTATCCATGGATCCATGGACCCTTCAAGGTCCACATCTCTTCCATTTTAATCAACATTAAACATTCACCAATTCCTTTCATCTTATTATCTTCATAAAGAAGCAGATCTTTCTAATTATTTAAGAATTCCCACCACTGGTTAAATTCCCTCCGCTGGTTTATCACACTGGACAAATACATCTGGGAGTCCCTTGGCGATAAAAGAGCAGATGTAGCAAACATCATCCGGATATTTGGACAGCTTTAGTCCTGGAGAACAAAATCTCGACATTGATGCTATGCAGACATCGGTGAATTGAACACAGGCATTCTACCTCTCGGTTGTGGTAGATTTTGTCATTTAAAATGCTACTCGATTGGTGCTAAAGTTCCATTCTTCTTTGCTTCTCTTCTCAAATGACTCACTACAAATTCCTTTCATCATTTAAAAAAAGCCGATTTTTCTAGTTATTTATTAGCAAGGAATAAATTTTTCAAAAAAATTTGCTCATAGCCCTTAAAAAATTTTGAGGGATCATTAACCAAAAAAATACGAGGAAAGATGGTCTAAGCAAAATCCGATAATGCAATGATGAAAATAATAATTACCAATAAAGACGATAGTCGTATTTATTGTCGCCACTGATCCATTTGTCGACACAGTTATAACTTAAATTGTTGCTTGGCTTATTCATTATAATCTGCAAACTTGGCAAAGTTGCTCATTTCCTCGCTCATTTTAATTTTGTTTTTAGATGCAATTTCAAAAAAAGGTCTAACACAGCTGGTCGAGATAGCTGGGCGGACAATATGCCGATTCCTACTCGCAATGGGGTCCCCCATTAGAAGAAAATCCGAGTGGTGTGCGCGCCTATACGCACATATGCACTTCTACCGCTAGGTAATTCCATAGCGAAAATTCCTAGTCGTATTAGCAGCACACAAGCAGAAATGGTTGGTGCTAACTATTAGCTACTTGTGTTTTAAATGCTGCAATTAAAAAAATGATGGTAAACATCATTCATTCATTTTAATGATCTAAAAAATTGATGAAAACTGGCTGATTTAATTGATGGCCGCAAACCTATTAAGCAGCGACTATGCATTTAAATTCGTGGTCGTCAAACTGGCATCTCCTGAGGTCCATGGTTGTCCTTAAAGGGCGAATGAGAGTTTAATTCCAATTATGTATTTGAACAATTCAATTATTTTTATTGATTATTTTATCAACTTATTTATTCAGTACTGTTTTAAATTTTAAAAAAATGAATATTTTGCATTAAGGGTCCATAGATTTTAATGGCGTAGTGGTTTCACTACTGATCTAAAAATTTTATTGGATATTTTCCTGGAAATCCGGCATTAAGATCCACTTCCGCTGAAAGATAAAAAAATAAAATCCAAGAAACGTAATCTATGAAAACGAATCAAGAGAATAACTTGGTGAGGAAATGAACAAATGTAAAAATAATTGAAGGAAATAAATTAGCTAAAATTGGTTAAATTAGATATTTATTATCAATAATTTTATAGCCAGTGCTGTCCGATCATAACCATCGATTTTCTTGGCTTCTATGTCTTCATATTTATATCTCGAAGATCTCGAATTTGAATTTTTTGAAGTTTCTTAATGGCCTAATTTCGGCATCTTCCCAATATTAAAGTGTGAGAATCTCATATCCTTTTTATTTTAAACGATCAAAAGAAAAAATGAAAATAAAAGAAAATAAAAGATAAATGGAAATAATAACGCAAAATTTTATGGAAATAAGGCTAATAAGCATATTTTTAACAAATTTTTCTAAAACCATAAATTAATGGAACACTATCAATCATGAGGCGCTCTAATATGAAAAAAAGTGAGAATATAAAAATATTTATATTTATATATAAAATAATTAGAATAAAAATAATTAAAATATAAAAATAATAATTAGAATATAAAAAAACATTGTGCAGTTTTAACGCTATTAATGAAAGTGACGGACATTTACCTTAAACAATAAAAACTACTGAAAAAGAAAAAAAAGTGAATGAAATCAATAGGGATTTATTAGTTGGCAACCATCATGCGTCCATCCCAAAGGGTAGAAATAACAGATTCATCAACAAGTGTTGTAGTATCTCCTAAATTCGCTCCTTTATCTCCTTCGGCAATTTTACGAAGGATTCGACGAGTCACTTTGCCTTTAACAAATATTTTAAGTCAAGCAATTAAAAAAACGTAAACATCTAATTAATGACTATTGATTTCATAATTAATAATTTAAATAAGGATCAATTTACCTGATCTTGTTTTTGGAAGTCCTGGTGCTTCTTGTATGACATCTGGAATGGCAATTGGGCCAATTTTCTTGCGAACTACCATTTTAAGTGAGCTAATCTTATCTTTTGTTAGTTTAGCTCCCTGAAAAATTTGTTCAAGCAAAAAAAAAGCCACAGCCACCACTATTATCTTTTTGATTTATCTGAAAGTACTAACGAAGTACTTTCATTAATCAAAATATTAAAAAGTAATGTCAGAAATATTAAATACATTAAAAAGAAATTAAAAATAATGGATTAGCATAACATTAACAAATTAAATTAAAAGAAAAGACATACCTGACGAAGAGTCACGAAGGCATATGGAAAGCTTCCCTTAATATCATGCGGTGCTGCAACAACAGCGGCTTCAGCAACTTCATCATCAGCAGCCAAAGCAGATTCAATTTCAGCTGTCGATAAAAGATGACCAGAAACATTTATCAAATCATCGACACGGCCTAAATCGATTTAATGCGACTTAAGTCGATGTTCACTCTCATAATGGATCAGTTCATTTGGATTACTTGGCTCACTTGAACCAAAATCGTCATATTACATATTTTAAACGAAGGAAACAAAAAACGAAAAAATGAAACACTCAACAAATCCATTCATACAGATATATCGCTCGTCGATATAATCATAAAACCACCATCATGTGACGTGATTTTTTCATTTTATTGTTAGTTTTATTGATTAATGAGGAAATTAAATATTTTTAGACTTAAAATATAAAATATTAGTTACCAAGCAGTAATTGAAAACCAAATTGAACTGAGAAACAAATAAGTCAAAAATCAATCAAAAACCAAAAAAATAACCAGTTATCCAAAAATATCCATCATCATCGCGTCGTGCACCGTCACCAGTAAAGTAATATCCAGGAAATGAAGAAAAATATGTGGAAACATAACGGCTATGATCTCCCAAAACAGCTCTACACATTCCAGGCCACGCTTGCTTGATGCACTAAAGGAAAAAATACTTCGAAAAATTTTCAATGAAAGGGCACTAAGTGAAAGCGAAGAAAATACGACACCAGACTTCCTTCCCCAGGTCCTTCCAATTCACGACCGTTAGTATCCATTATAATCGGTATTATACCAAAGAATGGCAGTGTAGCGCTACCCGGTTTTGTTGCTGTTACAGCTGGTAGTGGAGTAATAAGAATTCCACCAGTTTCAGTTTGCCAATAAGTATCAACAATGGCACATTTTTTCTCACCAACCACCTGCAAAAAAATAGCAAATATGATAATGATATCCTCAAAAGAACTTTCCGATTACTCATAAATAAGACCAACATTATATAACCATAGCCAGGCCGCTGGATTAATAGGTTCACCAACAGATCCAATAATTCGTAGCGATGAGCGATCACGAGAAAGAGCATGACTATCGCCGAATGCCATAATAGCTCGAACCGCAGTGGGTGCTGTATACAGTGTTGTCACCTAGAATAATATGCCTAAAATAACCTAAAATAAAATAGGTACTTCTTGAATTAATATCATAATATTAAAGCATTTATTACCTTATATTTTTCAACAATTTGCCACATACGATCAGGACCCGGATAAGTAGGTATTCCTTCAAATATAACAGATGTAAGACCATTCATCAAAGGACCGTACACCACATAAGAATGCCCAGTTATCCAACCACAATCGGCTGTACACCTATATTCTTTCACTGTTGAAAAATTTGAAGTTAGACAAAATTTATTAATAAAATTAGGAATTTAAAATAAATTTCCCTTAAAAATCTAAATTAGAAATCAACTATTTGCGATTTCAAGGTAAAAATCTAATACTAAAAAATTTAATAAAATAAAGAAAAAATAATATAAGAAAAAATATTGTAATAAAAACTATATAAGAAAACCAGTAAATATTTCCGACCAGTAAATATCTCTATCAGCGTGTGCATCGAAAACATATTTAGCTGATGCATAAACATAGGTCATATATCCAGCTGTTGTATGTACGATACCTTTGGGTTTCCCAGTCGAACCAGATGTATATAAAATAAAGAGTGGGTCTTCAGCATAACACCACTCCACATCCGTTCTCATATTAGTACAACGCTGCACCTCATCCTCCCAGAAAACAATCAAACTATCATTTAAGATCGGCTAAAAAATAGTTCAATCGAAAATTTTCAAATTAATTTTAAAGCAGAAATATGAGATGAATATGAGATGGAAATGCAAATTCAACAAAAAAAGTATACCTCAGAGACAACTATTCCACTAGGTTTTCGTACTCTTTGCAAATGTCGAACAACTATAATCGTTCGCAGTGGTTCTTCCTATTGAAGTAATAAACTTTATATTGATCCTAGGTTTTGAACTTCAAATTAACTAAATCTGCTTTTTTAAAAAATTTAATATATTCCAGATATATTTTAAGAACGACTGAAAAAAGTTTTCAAAAAATTTTACTTTTTTCAAATGTTTTAATCATTCAGTTCTTTTCCTTGCTTGTTAGTTTCTTTTTTTAAGGAATTTGTCAATTAAAATAAAAATTTACTTGTGAAGAACAAGAAGCAACTGCAGCATCGATAATTGAATTGAGTGAAACAAGTTTTTTCCCACGAAAGAAACCATCAGCTGTAATAAGTATGCGGGCTTTCGCTTGCACTAGACGTGCACTAAGTGCTTCAGCACTGAAACCAGCGAAAACCACCGAATGTACAGCACCTATTCGAGCACATGCCAACATTGCAATTGGTAATTCAAAAATCATGGGCAGATAAACAGCCACAACATCACCCTAAAATATACATAACATTTCAATTTAACGACATTAATTTCGAGATTGAATTAATCGCAATAAACTTTTATCTTTAAAAATTTGTTCTAAATAATTCTAAAATATGATGGACGATGAATCTGCGAAGTGTTCCGGATTTAATTCATGATCACCGAAAGAACTGAACGTGATACTTGAAGTGAAATATCAGTGGTGCTAAGAAATAACACTTCGATACTTCAAGTGCCGAAATGATCTCATATCAACAATCAGTGAGATCAATCTAATGAGTGGCAAGAATAGTAGGAAGTAGGAAGGAAGAACCTTTTGAACACCATGTGAACGAAGCACAGCCGAGAATGCAACCACTTCATCCAATAACTTTTGGTATGTAATTGATGAGCAGTCGCCAGGTTCATTACCTTCCCATTTGAATGCCACACGATGTCCATTACCTATGATAAATAAAATATTAGATATTTAAGAAACATATTCAATCTCCGCTAATAAATTTGGAAAAAAATGATTCAAAATGATTTATAAACAATTTTCACTAATGAAAATTCGATAAATTGAAATGAATCATCCTATACAAATATTATTTCTACAAATTATCAAAAAAATAAGTACAAAAAAATGAAATAAATGTTAATGAATGAATGAAAAAATAAAAGTATTCAATAAAAAAATTTTTAAAAATATTAAAAGAAATTTTAAAATCGTTGAAATAATCGATAAGAAAGATAAGACCTCGACGGATATTTGCCTCAAGGCAGTTATAAGCGATATTTGTCTTCGAACCATCCATAAATCGAACAAAAACATCATTTTTACGATAATCAAAATTCCATTCCAATCCCTTAAAAATTATTTATTATTTAGTTATTATTTAATTTTATGCAGTTCAATTTAATATTTTTATTCATTTAATATTTATAATACATTTAATTTTTCTTCACCAGTTCAATTAAATTTTTTTTATTTATTTAATAATACTTTTTCATTCCATTACAATCGAAATTCGATAAATTGAAATAAATTGTCCAATATAAATATTACCTTTATAAAATTTGTCCATTCACTTTTATTATTTCTTACATTCATTTTCAATCAATTTTTCTTAAATATTTAGCCATTTTTTTAAGCAATCAGTTAGTATTAGCTACTATCTGCCAACAAATGATTAACCAATAAAAATTGCTAATGGAGGGAACCTGACGAGAAATGGCAAGCGCTAACTATTTACTTTTTTCTATTCAGAGTATAACTAAAAAGAATTATGCACAGTTCTGCTTACATAAACATTTAATAACATTTAATTTAGAATAAACATTTAATTTTTATTGAAAAAATTAATTTTTATTTTGTTTTTTGTTTTTTGATGTTTCTGCTTAATTTTATTTTAACCATCACAGTTAATTTGTTATTTATTGATTAATCAAATTTTTAATTACATTTTCGCCTTTCGCCAAATATTCGCAAATTTGATTACAAAATTGGGTTTCTACAAAATACATTTTGTGGGAAGACGAAATGGAAAAAAAAAATCCCTCACCTCAACCTCTTATCAATGAATTAAACAAAAAAACGGAGAGAAAATTGATAAGCAACCTTATCAGAAACTGACTCAAAATAAAGTTCTTTAGCAACAGTCTTCCAAAACGCGTCAACATTATTTATAGAATCTCGATATAAATCATAAGCTTTCGTTCCAGAAATATGAGCACCTAATTTAAATTAATTAATTGAATTTAAATTTGTTAATGAATTTATTCTATTAAAATAAATGAAACAATCCTATCGTAATTTATTGATAAGCTGCGTTCTGCTTTTCATGCCCACCCTTTCTGAAATGAAAAAAATTGTCCTTGTGCTCGAAGAATTAAAGCAGGTGGAAAACTGGGATAAAAGCCATCAGCGCTATCATTCTTTTAATACCGCCTTATCACTAAGGTGTTCACTTTTTCATCACTCTTTTTTTGGCAAATTATTGCAATTCCGTTTTATCCTTTCTTTTAGAAAGAAATCATTAAAAATTGAGGATTTCATCACTAAAAGATGTAAAGGATTTCAAAAAATGACAATTGCAAAAGAAAAATATTTAAATTTTTTAGTTAAAATTTAAAGGATTTAAAGAGAATTTTGGTAAAAAGTTACATTTAAACAAACTTTCAAACTAACTATTACACAATTCATTTATTTATTGACTTTCATAATGATGCGAAATAACGTAAAAAAGAAAAAAGGAAATCAAATGTTTTCTTCGCTAAATTTCTCTTAAAAAATTTTCAAAATGACAGAACTTCGCAACATTTATACTTTAAAAAAATCTACAGAAATCCGCAAACCTGCAAGGAGCGGTGCAGGTGGAACGAACCATTCATCATCGTCTTCATCGAGATCACTGACGCTAAATTTCGCATGAACGTCCGACATTTAGCAACCTCAAAATAGAAATTTAGCAATAATCGGTAAATGAACAATTTTGCTTGAACTAAACATGAAATTCACAATCGACATCGCGGAACATTATAGCACTCCTCAACCACTCCCCAACCGCACCAGACCAGCATCCCTTCACCCCTTGACCGCTCTTCCCAATGAGAGTGCATTTCAACTTTTTTATACCATCCTGGGGAGGGCGGGACCAAACCAACGACTGACCACGCCTATTTTAGTGAAGGGATCATTTTTCTCTTCATGCGATGAGTTAAAATATTATTGAGAAATCTAAGGAGGATTTGAAAGAAATCGACAAATCCGTTAAATAATATTTAATAATTGTTAAAAATAAAATTTTAGTAGTAATAATTACTTATTAAATGAGCGAAATTCGATTATCTGGGAATGGAGTGATTTATTGGTTCACCGCTTTCATTTCGGAACCCCGCTGCTGAGGTTTTATTTCCGATGGAGATGCGAGGTTCGATTCGCCTTTCAAAAATCCGGATGGCGCTGATAACTTACGCGTAGTTTTGTTAGAAACTCCCTAGTAAAATTCCGACCTGGTCCGGTAAAGGAGCGGAGTGCATGCAACCAGGAATGGTGCTCTTAGGAAAAAACGGTTATCTGGCCATTAATTTGCTTGCTGTCTTCCTTTCTTTCAGATTTTACAAATTATCCATCAAATTTTTTTAATCAAATGTGAAATCGATTTTATAACTGAAAATTTTTGCCTTAGAAATTTTGCTTTCGTTTCCTAAAACTTAATTTAAACGAGCATTAAATTTCCTTGTGGGAATTCTTTCTTCAGCTTTCGAAAATCTAATTTTTGCATTTTTGCGTTATAAACAGCAATCGATTCTTTTAAAATTTCCAATATTTTTGGGATTAAAAAAGAAAGAAATTGCTAAATTATTTATTTATTCATTTGTTTTCAAGGCATAAACGTTTGTTTTATAATTTTTCTTTAATTTCCTTTTTCTTAAAAAAAGGAAAATTTTAAAGAAATTGAAAAACGCAAATGATTAATGGCAAATGAATTGTTTTAAATGCGAAAAACAAAAAATTTAAAAATTATTATTTGAGAAAAAAAAAATTTATGCTAAAAATGAATAAACATTGCATACAAAAAATGTTCTCAACTGATTTCACACCTTGAAATATTTATTATAATGGAATAAATCTAACAATTTATTTTCCTTTTCCATCAGCATTTCTGGTTTCGTTGACTTCAATGGTTGTCAACGCGAGGGGCTTTCTCTCATTTTCGAACATTCGTGCATTTCCTCATATGCACTCCAATTACTGAGAAAAGAGTGTTCTCGGCTGGATTCAGCAGCCCCCTTGCTACATCAGACAGGAGATTTTTGAAATGAATCGTAAGGAAAGCATTAAAGCCGGAAGATAAGTTTAGGCTAGCTGGTGAATTCCACCATTTGTTTAACGGTGTTGGATCAGATTTCTTAACTTTAACTTATCAAATTAATGGTTTAGGTGATTTTAAGGAGAATACGTAAATATGAGGATGGTAAACAATAAATGGAAAAAAGGAATGATGCTTCTCTCGCCTCGCACGCAAATGTATTTTATCATTTTACCCATTTTCTTTGAACGAGCGGTGATGAAATAATGAAAGGTGAATGATGAAAGGTGCAGAACGCCGCTCAATCCAATTTTTCTTCCTTAAATTTAAGTAATCTAATCGAAAACAACAACAAATGAAGAAAACAAAAAAATGCTAAATTTACTTGTTGGGACAGCCGCACGGGCTGCGAGAACTCAACAATTTGTCTTTAGGCGCTCCTAGAAAGCAATTCGAAGTTGCGACCAACCTCATACCGGAAATCAGTTATAAGTGGAACTGAGTTCTATTAAAAAAGTATATTTGGAATAAAAATTAATTAAAATAATTCCCCTGGCGGGTCGGAGTCACCAATTATACCAAAGGAAGAACCACAGTACCATACCAAATACCAAAGGATACCAAAGGAAGAACCCAAAATGCGAATAAAATTGTCGGAAGTAATATGTTAAAGTCGAAGAAGAATATTTTTTGGTTAGCAATTCAGTATTCAAGTCGAGCAGTTAGAAGTAAGTCAGTTGCAATTTCTACCATAATTATCGTAAAATTACAATTATTATAAGCTCGACAATTGAATATTGAATGAAGACAATTCTTTAAAATTCCTAAGTTAAAAATTTTATAATTAAGGCACCAGTCGGTTTAAATGAATCAACTAGAGGCAATGGCATAGCGACTTCGACTGAAGTCAAACCATCAAACCAGTCCGATTCTTTCCTCTAAACGAGAATAACTCTGCGAAATGAAAAATGGTAAGGGGCAGCTATTAACGTTCCTAAATGGTTCTCTGCTCATAATAGCCTTTTTCTAATAGCCAGTAAAGTCAACCAAATTAAAAGTATGCGTGAATGGCAACTGGTGGTATAAGGAACATAATTTTTTTTATAACCTCGTTTTTTCTAGACGTTTCGACATTCGACGAAGAGTCTAGTTAATTTGGATTGATAAGATTTGCAAATTTAAAAGCCTTTTTCATTTATCAACTGGCAGAATATCCTAACGTTTACCAAGATTGTCGTTTCAAGCACTATGGTTTGAGCCTCGGAAAAGAATAGCTTATCATCGAAAAATTCGAGTGCTGGCGATAGCCCATCTGTGTAATTCTTGCAACCGCGAGTAACTCTTTGACGAATCTCATCCTACAAAAAGCCAGTGGAGCGAGCATTAAGAAAAATGGTAATTTTCCATTTTTAATTCCTAATTTTTTCTATAAGAAGAAATATTTCTTTTTTTTTCGAGCATTGATTGTTTGATTCCACTAATTTTCTATGCGGCAGTTTTATTTTCTCTCACAAGTTTTGCCAAATGATTTTTAAGTAAAAAATAATTTATTACAGCAAATAAATTACTTCGGATCTTTTTCTTAATCTGATTTGTTCCTCACCATTATTTGTTAAACTCACTACGCTGGCTTGTCGCACTGGACAAATCTGCCAATGGGATTCCTTGTCAATAGAAGTACAGGTGAGCCGCCACCCGGATTTTTGGACAAGTTTGCTCCTGCGGGAAATAAACCTCAGCATCGGCGCTCCGAATTGAGCAACAATCCACCATTCTATCCCCTATATGCAAATTGCGAAGTTAGCCATTTACGAATTGTATATTTTGTTTGTTGTTTCACATCCTTTTTTTCTAACAGCTTTCACCATTACGCGTTAGACTGATTTCACTGACTACAAGGGTAAGACTCCAAGCTGCCATCTGATTTGATACCATCGTTGACAGTAGCCATTCATTTTCCATCTAAGTCCATATACTGCTGGTCCACTTCGCTTTGATACCATTCGTACAGCTTTAGGAAATAATGAAATATGTGTTTATTCCTGTGGTGAGCGACGAAGAACGTGTCCCAATCAGCAAAAATGACGTCCTGTGATGGTACTGCGGTATTTGAACGAAGATGCATATATGTGAGATTTTCTTTACTCGGTGAACCCATAAAATGTTTCGTAGAGATCAAAGTGGTCGAAGGTAGATAATTTCTTAATATCCTCCATTCTCAGTGGCCATATAGAAAGAAAGATAGAACGAATCACAGCTATACAGATGATGTTTTTCGTTTTTATAGCGATTTCGTCATCCTGAAAAACGCATTTTTTGCTGACATTATTCGAGTTGTAATTTCGCCTGACCATTTGGTATTAGAGTGGATCCAAGATGTTTAAAATCGACCTTCCCCAACTGGTAATGAACTGATAAGAAAAGATTTCGTTTTATTTACATTGGGTTTCTCCGGATTCTCGCTGCAGTTATCGGCACGTTTGCATTTCGTCATCACTACCAACAAAAAGGATTACATTATCAGAATATTTAAGATCAGTAATATGATGCTCTCATGTCTATGATGCATCTTACGGGTCCGCCGAGTGGATAAAATCGCATATGATGGCATCCACCTTTACTGAAATATCACTTGCATTAATATAGCGCAGCGTTTGATGATTGGAGCACATCGCCAGAGGAATTAGCACATATTTCGTTACTTTCTAAATTATGTAGGTGACATCAAAAGCGAGATGGACCAATCAAGATCTGAAAAATTTCGACTTATGTAAATAACCGATAAATAAACTTAGATATAAAAAGGAATGGCTTCTATCAACGGTGGAGTCAGACAGCTTGTAGATGTCTTATCCCTGTAGCCAGCGGAGCCAACATAACCAGTAATAATGAGAGCTTTTAGAAGAAGAAAATACGATGCTCTAGATTAAATTAACTTGTTTCCACCTCTTAAGTGCCAACAAGCGTTCTTTATTATCCAGTCTCTCGTGCAGCTGAAAGGTCGCAGCCCTGACAAACACCAGTTTTTAAAAGGGCCTGCTAGTTCCCCATATACAAATTTGTGCCAATGTATGCTGATAAAGTACTTTTACGAAACTATCTTCTCTGGATGATACTCCTCACATCATCCTCCAAAGTGCTGCTATATCAATTGAATCGGAGGCAGATGTCGCTGAATCGATGAAACAAGTAGTGGTATTTGAAGTGATGTTCCAAACATCCCTTCTAGCATGAATATCTGATCAGCACAAGTGTGCCTGTGTCTTAATCCAACTTTGTTAAGGCGCATTCTGCTGTCTCATACTGCGTTAAGTCTATTTATTAGGAGAAAAGCAAAAAGTTCAGCTGAGACGTCTAGTATGCACAAATGTATTCCTCTCCAATTGTCGCAATATGTCCTATCACCTTTCTTGAAAACGGGGAACAGAATTGCTTTGCTGCAGTCATCTGGTATTATTTCTTTCTTCTATATCAGAGAATATCGTGGTTAAGTTTGGTTAAGTTTTCAATGAATTCCACCTTATGAGGCGATCTTTAATAGTCTTAACAAGCACACCATTATTTGACTAATAGTTCGCTGAGTTACAATTGTTTTATGAAGAAGGGGAAATAGTTTCCTATTATCGCCTAATCGTGCCGTCATTTCTATTCTAAAAAAATATATAATAAATTATTTAATACATAATAAAAAGAGGCAAATATAACATTTTTCTACGGTTTCACGGTAATGACAATGACACTTTATGACAAGAGTTGCAGAAATAAATGGCAACCCCCAAGGGGCACAAATATTTTAGTGCTACCCTTGTGTCGCTGTCCTATAACGTGAGGAAATTCGTCTTAATTCTCCACTGTTCTAAATTAAATACGTTCGTTTATAAAATATTAAACTATTATTTGGTGAAATTCAACGGCAGATGTGAATTAAAATGCCAATCTTGGAATGCAGATGTTGTGATTGAAATACTATCCGATATTCGAATCACAAGTTTATTTTATTGTGTTCGATCATTTTCTCGACACCTCAAGTTTCTACTCAAAGATTCTCTCTTGAAGCGATCCGCAATAGGACCACGATTTAAAGATCGTTGTTTCTGTTATGATTTAGAAATTATGTTTTGTTTGATATTTACTCATACGCTGAAAATTCATTCTTTTAACATTCCCTTGGGTTTAAAAGTGAAAAACGATTACAGCTCATCATTTATTCATTTGAAGTAGGTGATCAGTAATTTATTTGGATTTGCATTCAGTAGGTGGAACCAAAGCAGTAATCAGTACTAGATCCAGTACTGGCCAGGAGAACCAGCGATAAGCGATTTGAGTAACTTTTCGGCAAAACCAAAGACATTACCAAATTAGAGCATATTTAACCCACAAAAATTGATTTTCTGAATTCAAATAAGAAAAAGCTTATTTAAAATTTTTTTTTATTTGATACATGTTTAATCTTGAGTTGAAATTTCATGAAAATTTTGTGCCATATTTATTCTTCTTTTAATAATACCATTGAACTTAGGCTTCACTTTTCAAGCAAATTTGCCCATGAACTTTTATACTTAATATTGTATGAATAGACAAGCAACATTCAGAAATTACAAACATTTTGGGTTGCTGTAGAAGCATAAGTGCTTCATACAATTAGCTTATTTAACGATGATGCTGAAAAGTATGGTGCAATGTTTTTGGAAAATTTTATGTCACAGGTTCTTATCACATATCAGCAGCGTTATAGAGATGGTAGGTAAATGAAGGTGAGGATCCTGTTTATCTGGGCATTTCAAGAGTTTTTCATTCATCACATAAAATATAAACTTTTGGATATTTTGCAAATTATATGTATATATAGAATGGATTTTCGCAACAAGTAGGATCTGGGACGAAAATTTTATCGTTGTAGTTGATTCATGTGGTTCGGCTATAGGCTAAATTTTCAGAAAATATATCTGTGAAGTTATTCATTAACGAAATTATTATTCAGTTTGGAAAGCTGAACTTTTACAGCAGGCATGAATAAATCTTTCATTCAAAAATTAGGGTGATAATGGTGAATTGCCTAAATTTCAATATCAAGTGGTTCTCTACCAATATTCGCTTGTAACGGAGTTAAATTTGTGATCTTTTAGGCAAACTTTGCCGTCTTTGCGCTGTCTTCCAGAAGAGTTGATCGAATGAAAAAAGCAAAAAGGAAAGGATCATTGATATGCAATGATGAGAAAAATCTCTCGTTTGATTTAAGAAATAAAAAAATTTGCTAAAACATTGGTAAAAAAATTTTAAAATAATCTTAAGGCGAAATTTTCCAACTTTTCAAATAGTATTCCTTTGAAAAGAAATTTCCCATAAATTAATAGTTTTTATGCTTGCGAACTATTTGCCAATAATTCTGCAATGCTTGCATTCCATGTTTCACTGCAATAAGAGTTCCTCTCAAAAATTCTCGACTTTTAAGTTTTCCCTAAAAATTTTCAAAATTGTCCGCGAAGTTTTCAGATCTAATAGTAAGTAATAATCTATAAAAGTATTGATTAATTGAAAAAAGTTTTGTTCGCATCGTCTTCGCGAAACATTTTGGTGAATTTTCGAATATTCGAGTGGTTCCAGATTTGATAATTTATAATGTTAATTTCTTTCTTGATTATTCAAATTTTTAAATAAAACTTTTTTTTAAAATAAGAATTTTCAACAGAAATTTCGCTTTATTTATTAAAAGACAAATTGTTTTTGCTTTTAATCATTTTTTTCAAAGAATCCTCACCATCAGTGGTTAAACTCGCCCCATTGGCTTGTCACATTGAGCAATATGCCAGGGAGTCCCTTGGTAATAGAAATGCAGGTGAGTAGGCCAGCATCAATTTTTATATATGTTTACTTCTGCGGGGAATCGAATCGTCTCCCGATCGAGCAACAACCCACTGAGCCATTCTGTCCGCTTTAATCGCTGGAGCTTTAATTTTAAAAAAAATTTTTACTGAAGTTTACAGTTGGAAATCATATTTCACACTATAAGCAAATGAACTGCATGAGTGATTATAGTGAAAATGGAGAAACAAGCGTTCAGTTTGCTCAGCTTTAGCTTTGCATTCAACATTCACATGCATTTTTTTACACATTCACATTCATTCAATATTCATATGCATTCAACAAATAGGTTAATTTTAACGCTGTTTTTTTACGATAAGAGGATTAGCTTTCGATATATCGCTTTGTTGTCTTTTTTCTTATTACCTTGGTCAGGCAACTTCTGACGCTAAAGCCTTTTCCTTTCTCGTAGGCATATTTGGATCGATATTGTCAAAAAACTTTGAATAATCTGAACAGAAACGAAGAAACTGATTGAGGGATAACTTGCTGATAAAAAAAATTTACTTTCGAATGTCACTGGCTTGTTTCATTATATAGTTTCATTATATCATTATATGATAAACAAAAGTGGTCGCAAATGTAGAGGGCTCTCGATTCGCCTTTACGATAAAAAAATCAGGTGACATCTGACAAGAACTATTAATATGGTTAACGAAAATTTTTATAAGCGTTTAGTCCTCCTACGCTATATTCCACCATCAACAGGCAAAGGCTATACTATTCCCTTTTGCCATAACCAGTTAATACAATTTTCTTGGCCAATTTAGGGTCCAATAGTGTGAAAACATTTCCAGATGAAGATTCTAATACATTTTTTCATTTTGCAATTATCGGCGGCCGAAATATTTACTTCATCTGCTCATGTAGAATCTCTTATCAATGCAAATAAAGAGGTTCCGCAGATGCTAGAAAATTACATCAATATGGAAGGAATTCGCGTCCAAACTTTGCGAAGGTCTATTTTGTTTTGTTATTGGTACATTTACTTATTATATGAATCAAGAATTTGAATCAAGAAATGCTTCGAAAAAACTTTGATTCTGCCGTATCGCAATCGGTTTCTTTTTGATAAATTTGTTTATCCGGAACAATAACAACTAAAAATGAAACTGACATTAGATCAGCAAATATGTGGTGAAGTTTCAGTGGAAACACCGATTTATAAATTCCAGCATTTTTAATTTAATTAAAATAAGTTCAATTTCAGGTTGATTAGCGTGTATAAAGCTAAAAATCAACAAGTATTAGCAGAAGACGTAAATGCGTTGGCGAATCCGATTAAAACCTTTTTATTCATAAAGCATTTTGTGGCCGACTGGGATGGCGTCGAAAAATTTATGACACAGAATACCGCGAAAGGATTCATATGGAACATTGCTGAGGACCGCACAAAGCGAAAAATCGAATATCCGACCAACGTTTTTTTTTATTATTCCTTAACTAGGCTCTCATTAGTTCCTTTGATTTAGAAAAAAATTTTTTTCCTATTTAGTATTTTCTTTTTGGCTCATATATTCCACATCTGTTCCCATTGATTTTCCTTTGCGAAATCATATTCGCCAATGGTTGTCGTTTTTCACAATTTTTCATATTTTTTTTACGTGAATTTCAACGTGAATACGAGTGTCTTGCGAATGAATGATCAGTTTCTAAACATTAAACCAAGCAAATCAAGTAAAACATAAACGCATCTTGTCACACTAGCCCTCAGTCCTCAAACTAACAAATTTTTATTACTCGTTATTGAAATCTCTTCTATTACCTCTACAAATAGTTTAGTCAAGAGTCCATTTTATTGTTCGAAGTATAGAGCCTTATTATTGAACGGAATAATTTATTTTATGATTTTTTCAAAAAAAGTTTCAGGAGGATCTCGCAGGTGCTGCGTCAGCTATATTTCGGATTCAAGACGTATATAGACTTAGCGCTAAAGAATTGTCAAATGGGAAAATTTTGCATATTGATTCAAATCAAAGTTTATCTGGTAAAAAAAGTCCTTGTCAATTAATTGCTATTAAAATCCTCATGCCTTAAGGCTATAATTAAGAGTTAATTTTGCCCATGGTAAATTTAAAGCCTAAAAAATATACAAAAAGCCGAAGCCATTCCACTGAACAAAAAAATACGGAAGAGAAAAGATTTTTTAAAGACAATGCAAAATCAGTGATAAGTTGAGCAAAAAAAGGATTTAGATGAAATCTTCATTTTTCAATCATCTTCATTTTATTGCAAAAAAACAATATTCTTCATTTTCGGCAAGGCAAATAGTCGTAGCCTTACTGAGATTGTTTAGATGGCGAGCAATTCTTAAAATCCCGGACATAACGCATAATATTCCCCAACTAAATAGAATAGACTACTTGGACAAAAATTGGAACTGGCTAATTCAGACCAGTTCAAATCAAATCTGACCAATTCACCACCAATTCCCCATTCTCCCTATGCGTTCGTACTTTTAGCTTTTAAAGCCGAGGTTTTCATCTTGCGAACATCTTGTTTCCCAACGAAATCTCATAACAATTTCTCAAATTTCAAACCAAAATTTCACATTTTGGAATCAAGGGAAAAGAAAGAAAGACCTTTAATATGGAATGAATTTCATTTCACTTTTTTTTCGCTAGAAAAAGGCTTAATCGTGCTATATAATCGGATTCTTACAATGATTTTCTATGAAAATTTGTGGGTTTATGGGTAGGCTTCCTAGATTTTCGACACGAAATAAACTACTATCATCCTATGGCACCCTATGAAATCCTATGTAAAATCTCTTTTCAAGGAGCCTTCACGTGCAATTTTCAATTTTTGTTTCCGAACCTAATTTTAAAAAAATTTTCAGCTTATAATTTTTAAAAATATTGAAATTTTTTGCAGCATGGGATTGTCTTTTGATTGGACGTTTGGCATACAAAACCAAGGATTACTATCACACACTTTTGTGGTTGCAAGAAGCATATGATAAGATTCAGCAAGAAAGTGATCCATCGTACGAAAATCTGCAAGAGATCTTGGATAAACTTTCATTTTCACTTTTCAAACAGGGCAATGTTAAGCGTGCTCTTTTGATAGCTGAAGAACTGCTGAAGATAGGTTGCAGAACCTTTTTTTTCGTAAATTTTCCAGCTTCCATTGAGAAATTATCACAGTTGGGAGTGACAAGTTTCTAACTGAATTTCAGCACCGAATCATAAAAGAGCCGCAAAAAAAGTCAAATTATACGCAGAAAAATTAAAAAAAGATGGCTTAAAACTGAGTGAATTCAGAGAAAATATTCCCCCACTAGAAAATCGGCGCAATGCAGAAGAAGCACCGCAAGACGATGAACATAACATCAAAATTTACGAGGCTCTTTGCAGAAATGAAATTCCGCCCGTAGGTTTTCATTCTTTGTGAAGTTATGAGGTTTTATAATAGCAAAAGATTGAAAAGCGTGGTTCTTTCGTCGTCCGTTCGCTTCTTTTCGATGCCATCGATGAAGTGAGCTTTCGCATTTATAGAATTAGAATTTTTCTTCCACCTTTTAAACTCAAACAACAATCGCTTGTTTCCATTTGCCCTCTTCGCCGTCGCTAATTTTTCTAAATCGAGCTGTTGGTTCTTTTTGTTGTTATAAATTATCAACTTTATACAAATTCTCATTATCTATTTCCTTGCATTTCACATTTTGTGAAATGAAATCATTTGTTTGCCTTTTTCATGGTCCTAAGCAAAGGCATTTTCTAGTCACTTAAGGTTTGATTAATGGAAGGCAAAGCTGAAAGATTTTTTTTAGAGCGTCCAGGAATTTTCTATGTTATACTGTTACTACAAAAGAGATCGCCCCTACTTATTAATTGCTCCGTTTAAAACTGAAATTGTAAGATTCGATCCGCTGGCAGTCGTCTTTCATAAAGTGATATCTGACGAAGAAATAAGCATTATTCAAGAACTTTCTCATTCGCGGGTATTTAATTCTCTTTAATTTAGGATTATAAGCAATATAATCAACAATTAGTCATATAAGCCCCGAAATATTAAATATTCACTTGCTTGTTAGCTTCGTTTAGCTTGAAAGGGCTCAAATTCTAAACCATACAACTCAAACGAAGGCGTATGCTTCTTATCGCATAAGTAAAAGGTATATCTTCATTTCTTTTCTGCAATACTTTTCACACTTTTTAATGCGAAAATGGCCGAATCTGGAAAGTTTACAGCGCTTGGCTGCATAAAAATGAACACAAAGTAGTGGACCGTATAAATCGAAGAGTTGAACTTATGACGAATTTGGCACAAGAAACCGCTGAAGAGATTCAAGTACATTTCAAATTGTACTCGAAAAGTGATCGGCTTTCTTCCTTATTTTTTGATATTTTAGGTCGGAAATTATGGCCTTGGTGGTCATTACGAATCGCATACAGATTTTTTTCATGTATGACTTAAAATATGTCAAACATAAGCAATCTTCTTCAAATTTAATTTATATTTTAAAATAAAACCCCTGCAAGCTCGAATAATATCAGCGAATTTGTGCTTTTCATGAAACATCTCTCGATTTTCTTATCACTCACTGAACGATATAAATGATATTTTGCTTAATGAGTTAATGAAGTTCGCAAAAGTTCTTAATTTTTGCAGGAAGGAACCTTCTTGAGAGCACTTCGTGAAGGCAACCGTATCGCAACTCTCCTCTTCTACGTATGTTTTCTTTTCTTTTAAATTAGATTAAGGAAGTGGCCAAAAATTCTGAAAATATTCTATGGAATACGACAATTTTTTGCTATGAAAATACGAATAAACAAGTATATTTGTATATTTGGAAAATTAATTGAAGCAATGTGTCAGTTTGTCAAATATTACTTTATCGCAACCAATTGTCCATTTTGACGATAAATTAGGTGAATAAACCATGGACCAATTGAGTGGAGAGTTGGATTTCTTGAATATTCTAATTTATAAAATCAATTCAGATGAGCCAACCTGAAATTGGTGGCGCAACTGTATTTACTCGGGTTAATACAACAATTTTACCTTTGAAGGTAACGTCTCAATTCACAATTTTTTAATTTTAAATTTTTTCCTTCCTTTCAGACAAGATGGAATATCTTTAAGCAAAAAATATTTTCCGAATTTTTCCAGAATGGTGCATTGTTTTGGTATAATTTGGAGCGGAATGGTCAAGGAGATTTTAGAACTCAACACGGAGCTTGTCCGGTGCTTGTAGGCGTTAAATGGGTAGCAAACAAATGGATTCGTGAAATTGGTCAGGAATTTCGAAGACCATGCGGTTTACAAAAATCTGACAAAGAAGCTTTCGTTGGTGACCTAGGAGGTCCAGTTCCAAGGAACCATGCCAATATTCGCTCTTTTTAATTATAATTTCCACAAACGCCTGAATTCAACCTTATTTTGTTTTTTTTTTCTCTAATTGTAATTGTGGTTTCGTCCGTCATTTTTTTAAATATTTCCGTCGATATTTGTAACCCTCCGAAATTTTTCCCTTTGTTCCAATCCTATATTCTTTCGCAGCTATTATTATTCTTATTATTGAGTAACTGATCGTTGTTACAACATTTTCTCCTTCCTTTCAGGGAAGGCGGAATTTCTCTAAATAAAAAACATTTTCCGAATTTCTTCAGAATTATTTTGGTATAATATATCGTACGAATCAAAAAAGTTTAGTGAATAAAAAATGCTTCGTTTAGACTCAAAAGCAGATAAAATTGATCTAAATTGATCTCTATTTCATTTATTCACTTACTTATTCATAAGATTATTGATATAGGTAGGAAATAAATAAAGTTTCAGAGATTTTATGGAATCAAAAATTTATTTTATGGAAAAAACTTGAAGAACTAAGTGATGGAATCCTAGTTCTAACTTAAACCACTGACCACTATATGCTAAAAAAAAGTTAATTTTTAGTACTAGAAAGATGAATAGTTTGCATATCTGCACAAGGAATAAAGGAAATAGCCGTAACAACAATTGAGTTCGTGCTATAATTGAATTTCTTCGTGAGTCTAACGCATTGGGAATGAAGTAATAAACCAATGGAGCCATAAATACCAACCAGAAAAAAATGTAGTTTAGACTCAATAAGGGAAGAAAAAGGAATAACTTCCCTAAAACTTTATCACTTGAAATAATCGCAAATATCTTTTGAATAGACGACATATGGAAAAACGAGAAATTGAATGATAGCATGAATTGCTCCCATCTCAGAATGCCGATGTTAGCCGTGTTGTTATACTCCTCTGAAGTAAATTTAGCAAAAATCTGGGCGATGCTGGCGATTCAGCTCTACTTCTCTTGCCAAGTAAATTCTCTGGCAAAATTTGTTTGCTCAAGTGGGTCTAACGAGTCTAATCAGAACTAGCGACTTTTAGAAAATAATATATTCAGTCAAATATAAAACTATTATCCTAAACTAATGAAATCGAGCGAATTCATTTAGCTTCCATAATAACAAGTTGCTGAATAATAATTTGTATTTGACAAAAATGATTTATTCCTATGCGAATATTTTATTCGGAAAAGATTTAATAATACTTTTGACCAAAAAGGAAATGGGATTTAATATGAAATTAAAAAATGAAATTAAAATTAAAAAATTTTTGCCAAATTATAGAATCATTTGCTGAGATCGCAATTGACAAGTTTCTATCCATGTGACCTGTAGAGTACCAAGAAACTCTTCTCCCCTCCTCCTAGGGCAACCTGAAATAGTTCCTCTGGAATTTAAACGGATGAAAGCATTTGTTCACTCAAGGACTGACCATTATCAGCTTACCATTTCTCCGCGCTTAAAGATTTTAATAGATACACTTTATGATACAATAATATGCGGGGTAATTAGACGGAATAATTTGCATATTTCCAGAAAAACCACCGAATTTAGTTAAAGCAATGCTATGAACTGAAAGACTCATTTTTAACGCTATTTCTTATTCATTTCAGTGATTCACTGCGAGGTTCATTCGATGAATTTTCGATCTTTCTATATGGCAATATTAACAGTAATCATCACGGAACGTCGCCTTCGCTGGTTAGGGTAACCATCTTCGTCGCCAATCATAAGAGTTGACACATATTTCACTATTTGCTAAACCTTGTGTTGGGCGTTAAAAGCGAGGTGGGCCAATTAAAACCTGGAGTGACAATGTCAGGAAAGATTTATAGGTGGACCAGCAATAGACGATGGAAAAAGGAATGGCTTCTATAACTGTCAACGATGGTATCAGATTGCGCCGCTTGGAAAAATCTTACTCTTGTAGCCGATGGAGCCAGCCTAAACGATGAGAGCTGTTAAAATATACAAAGAATATTCTCTAAAAACATTTCAAATTAGATTTTATGACTGATTATGCAAATAGAATGCATTCGACATAAACGTTGCAAAATGTCCAAAGAGCTGGCGTTTTGTCATATAAATGACAAAAATTATGAAATCTTGGTTAAAATACTAACGATGTTTGTCTTCAAATAAGGCGCTTGCAAGGAAAATGAAAAAAATATCTCAAATATGAATGAAATCCTGAAATGGAACTTCCGTTTTAAGAAAGATATAACTGATTAGCAATTCCTAGTTACTTTATACATTAGCAAACGAACAAGGGAATTGTTGCGCAATAACAGCTTCTCCGTCTCGAATAGTTATACCAAAAGCGTCACCATAATCAACATGATGAGGACCAATGAACGGATTGTGAACACGTTTATTCTAATATTATCAAAATATTCATAAATTCTCGTAAATCTTGTCGCAACTCGAATCTATAAAATGAAAAATGTGCAATGCAAACGACTTAGAATTTCTGTAATTTTGATTAAATATTCCCGAAGTTTTGCATTTTAATTTGCAAAATGCAATTTGCATTTTAATTATTTCACGCCTTTCCGTTATTCTATCGTCACTTTCATTAATGAATTGACTTTTGATTTATCAAATAAATATTCTCCAAACATTTTAGAAATAAAAATTCCTATCTAAACAAGCAAAATAGGATAAAAGATTGAATAAAAGGTTTATGCCTCTGTTTGATCAAATTAGATGAAAGCACATTCAGAAATTCTGCACTGTTGAATTATCGATATTAGATATAATTAAATAAAATTAAATCAAGTAATTCTAACGCTTTAAATAGACAATAAGTACGGAGCACGAAAAATCACAAGGCCATCCCAAAAATTTTGCCACTTTTCAGTGCTTCGATATTTTCGTTAACATGCCACATCAACTAACGTATCATAAATTTTTCTCTGCTCCTTTCTTGTTTCCCATTGTCGTAAGACTAAGTGCGTTTAAATTTTTTGGTTGATTTGGTCTAAGATTCGATATGGAAGAATGTAGTTTTCAGTTTCTGGCAATCTTTAAGGATTTGAACTGAACTTGAACTGAAACAAAAGGATAGAGAGACGGATCCCTGAAGAAACTGATAGGTGGACATTTCCAAAAGGAACTGAGCGGATTTAGCACGAGAACTTGAAGTATAATATTGTATGGAACCACCAATATTCAGCGGAAAAGCATGATAATTCGGTGCCATACGAACTGAGCACCAGATGGCAAAGTCGTACTGTAAAGAAACTTTGTAAGAACCACTTGGCAAAGATTTGCCGAATCCAATATCGAAGTTCTTCCTCAACTATCGTATTCCCGTCAGACCTCTGTAAACAGTCTGCCATTCTCTCGGAAATTAACTTAGAGAGAAATATTTTTGAAAACTGGAGAGCCTTCTTCCAGAAGTTCACTGGCAGAAGCTTCGTTTTTAATAAAATGGAATAAATGCACTTCTACTGCCGCAAAAGATGAGGCAAAAACGTTTGGTGTAATAGAAATATAATAGCATATTTTAACAAAAAAAACAAAGAACCAATCAGAATCTATTCTTAAAAAATCTATTAAAGTACCCAACACGGACCTGAAACGCATCCTCTTAAACCCCCGCGGGGTCTAAGGCCCGCCTTACGATAAAAAGAACTAATGAGACTAAATTTTAATGTTATTAAAAGATGTTATATTATTAAGGACAAGAAATGTGCCAAATTTAGCTGATTATTAGTGATTGCAAAACTTGGCTATTTGCCAATCGCTTTTAGGATAATGTGGGGTTTTGTGTGGAACTGGGAAGATTTTTTCTTGTTCTTTGTTGGTTTTGGTGGTACTTTCAACTTCCAAATGGATCAGCTATCCATAATTTTTCGATAGAAAGTCGGAGATTTCCACAACTGCTTACTTCATATAAACCAGAAGGGATTAGATGTTGTTCCAATTAAAGTTTGGTTCTTAGGCTTCGGCGAGTAAACCCCTTCGTCGAGACTGAAGCCAGGAATGTGTCCGCTTTTGCCACGCTAGTCAGCCAAACTGCGGACTGCGGGCGACTGCGGACGGAAAGAGCACCTTGAAGGCGTTTATCAGTTACGAGTGTTGGTTCAAACTGAAGTAAATTCGAGTTTAATCTTTAAATTATTAGACCATTTTCTTTTTACTTACCTCTACCACTTATATTTAAATTCTTTAAGTTGGAGAGACCAACAGTGATTTCCCTTGCACATCTCAAAACGTAGTTTAATCAGCATAATTAGATTCTTTGGTGAGCGTTCTTTAGTCAAACGTGACTGGCAGCAATTTTCTCGAATTATCCCACGTATACAACTTTTATTCCTTCTTGTTGTAATATTTGTTCCTCTTCTTGTCTGGTGATCTGGTACTTCCTGGTACCCGCCTGGTTGATGTTTCGATGTCGTTAGATGAAAAATCCCATTTGCTAATAACGTATAATACTAAAAGGTCATTCTTACTATAATGAAGAAAATGATAACTTTTTATACTGCGAAGTTGACCTTTTATATTTTCTGTTCATTGAAAGCTTTTTGCCCTTTCATCTGCTCAAAGTCGAGAAGAGCTGACGAGTTCCGAATTTTTCAAAATTTTTTTCGTTATATCTGAGTGATTATAATTATTTATTGCTATTACAGTTTCAAGTTTCGATATGGGTCATGCAAATTTATGGTTTTCTCATCCTCGAAAATATGGACCTGGTTCCAGATCATGGTTAGGCACTTACTGGTTTTCAATTTTTAAAGTGCAGATGTCTTTTAGAACTTTAATTTATCCGTTCCGTTGATTTTGTTTTTGGTTCATTTTAAAATCATTTAATTTATTGACTATTTTAATTTTATTTTAATTTTTTAATATCGTATGAAAATTTGAAAATTTTTCGAATTTTACAAAAAAATTTCAGCAGAGTTTGTTCGAATCACCATGGATTAATAAGGAAATATGGCTTGAATATGTGCCGTCGTTGTTTTAGAGAATACGCTAAGGATATCGGCTTTAAAAAGGTTTTTGATTATTTACTTTTATAATGGAATAGAATTATTTTTGACTTGCCTTATGAATTGGCTCATTTTCTTTAAAAGAGCATTTATTGCTGGTTAGATTTACTTTGGTGATAGAAGTACAGGTGAGTCGCTGGCGTAATTCAAATTGTTGAAGGATAAGTTTACTTATGCAGGATGTAAAATCTTAGCATCGGTGCTCCGAACTAAGCAGCAACCGGCTGAGTCATTCTACTGTTCTGTTGCATTCTCTATTAAACGACATTGCAGCCCCGCGAAGCTTGGTATGTTGGCCTGAATTTGAAACTCTTAATCTCTTTTGTAGAAAAAATTATCTTGCCACCGACTTGATAAAGCATTTGGTGATAAATGAAACACAGGGTACAGTTTCTTACTTGTTAAGGGAAATGGAAATGGTGGCGATATGCTTCTATCGCAGGATGAGATCTCTTGCGAAGAGATTTCATTCATCTTCAGAGAGATTAACCAAATCAGCAATACCAAATTTTATTAAGAAAAAAGATATTTACTGCGACATTAGGCAAAACATCGAGTAAATAAATCTAAAATTTAAGGTGATTCTTAAAACAAATGTTTTTAAGAATTGTAAGGAATTTCCATTAAATATTTCCCTTTAACTGACTTAACTTCTTTAGAATTATTTTATTTTCGTGACACGAAATAGGTTTGGGAATTTTATTTTATCGAGTGTTTATTTGGCTTTATTTTACTTTTTATGAAATTTTTATTTCAGTGTTTTTTTTTCAGCTCGATTAATAAGAATGTTATGAAGAATTTTGTGGAATAATTGTTAAAATAATGTGTTTTCACGATATATTACCAGAGTATATTGTAATTTAAAAATTTTCGTTTGTTTAAATTTATTAAATATTCGAAATAAAAAGATCAGAGAATTTTTTATTATTTATTGTTGATATTTACATTAAACTTAATTCCATCTCAAGAATATTTCAGTCAAACGCTGATTCAGTATATATATCTTTATATATATCTTTTGATTAAAAAGAAGTATGTGTTTGCGTTTTAATAAATATGAATTAAATTGGTGATTTTGCCAAAATATTTTTGTAATCTTTTTAAAATTTTTGCGAATGAATGCTTATTGCGTTGTTGAAATTGTATTGCTATGAGAAATTGTTTTTCGTTTGAAGGGGAGATTTTGCAAAAAAAACAGTGTTGGATAAATTGATAAACTAAACAACTTAATAAATAATAAAGTAAAAATTTGCTTAAAATTAAAATTTGCTAATGATACTCCAGTTGATAAGACAATTAGAATAATAAGGTAGAGTCACGTATATTTCTGTTTAAGTGGTTATAACGGCCATCTACCTAACGGGCAGTAGAGGTGACCAAACCAAATTTGTTGAGCGATTTAAGCGAAGTAAGGAATGATGGATATTAAAAGTTAAATATTTGAGAGGATTAATATTGAGGAGGATATTTTGCTCTATGTAGATTTTGGTTTTCGTATTCAACTATTCGGCCATTTCACCGTCATCAGCCAGTCGGGTTTTGTGAACTGTGGCGTTTATTTTCTCGTTTTTTCTGTTTTTAGTTATGCATTCTTTACTCTTGCATACTCTTAATGTGTCCTATAATGGCGAAAGTATATCTAAAAAGTTCATTGTGGCACCACTGTGGTGGCCATTTATATCCTCCTCAATATTTTTACAGATCGGTGATGGTTGGCTGTATGTAATTTGTTTAAAGATCTTATAATGGAATTAATGGAACTCCCCGAAGTGGTGTTATCGTGTCGACAGAAGCAGTTTATTCTTTTCACTGGTCTTGATGTAGCAAATAATACAGCACATTCGGTTATTTTTCAAGCGTTTACACAAAATCGAGGATCCGATCGTCTTCCGCTTAATATCGCGATTTTGTCCGCTGAACATTCTTTTTATGCCAAGAAAAAATTCGTAAGGAAGGTCCTTTTTTAAAATATTTTATGTAAAAAGTAAATACATACATATATATTTATATTTATATTTACATATCTGTCTATAATATACATATATATTATTTTCTTTTTAAAATTTTTGAAGATATTTTCCATAAATTTATATTTTAACGAAATTAATTTAAGTATAAAGAAGTAAGGTGACATGCTATGAATTCAAACAAACTGAATCTGACGAACTTATTAACTTGAAAACATCCATCTGTCGTGCCTCTTTTTGCATTTGTATTTTTTACCATTTTTTGACTAAAAATTTATATTTCAGACTTCAAAATCACCAAAAGGTTTTATAAAATTAAGTTGGCTAACCAAATACCTTTACGATATTCCAGCAGTTGTTGTAGTTTTTACGGATTTGAATTGGAACCATCCATCGTGGAACGAAAAGGTCACCGAATGTGAATCGAAAATTTCTTCAATCAGGTTTTTCTTTTCTTGCTTTCTATTTTTTTATCTATCGTTTTAATCCATCGTCTATCAATTAGTGAAATTAATTTGAGAACAAGTGCTGGTGCACGAGGCACTCGTATATGTTTGGTACTTATGCAGAATTCTAATCCGATTGCTATGGACGATCCAATTGCTGGTGAACGCGCTGCAATGCTGTGTCAGAGTTGCCAGATATCAACTAAACAGCTTTTTATATTGCCATTAGGTGATCAACTACATGGTTATATAATCAGGTGCATCCTATTTTCTTTTTTAAAAAAACAATTCTTGTATTATAAAATGAAGTTTTTTAGACCATAATTTTATGGTGTAATAGAATGTTTTCATTTTAATTTTTCGAGATTCCTTATTTAAAAATAGGTGATATCGACTCTTTTTTCTGCTACCATTTCATTCGTCCAGTAATTATCATCATTGCTGGCTTGGATGGCTTAGATGTTTCCAAGTCTTCCATTCGATGCCATTCCTAAAAATGGTTGAAGTCATTTTTTTCCACCACCTAAACTCATATATCACTGGGCCGCATGTGCGAAATGACCCTTCGGGCCATTAGTTGTTACAGAATTTAACAAATAATGAAATATTCTTCAATAAAATGGTGAATATGGCTTAGACCATGCTTTGTGGTGATATTCATAATGCAGGTCGTATTCGAGAAGATAGATGCATAAGATATACTTTATGCAAGAATGGTCAAAGGTCGATAATTTATTGATATCTTCCACTGTTATTGGCCATGTTTAATATCCAAATTTGAATTTTCATTGATTCCTCGACGATTCTAAAGAGACTTCACCAGACGAAAGAAAGCAACTCCAGCTGTATCATTCAGAACTATTTTCATCTTTCATCTTTTTTTCATTTTTTGCGTGACTAGCGCGGGTTTGAAAGTGAATGCAAGATCATTTTTTCGACCATTGGTGAATTTAGAGAAATTGTCCCATACATGGTACGAAAAAAGTTCATTTTATTTACATTAATTTTAGGGCTAACTTTTGCTGTTTATTAGGTCTAAGGTTGCAATTCCTCTAGCTTTCACTAAAAAGAAATGTATCCGTGATGTTGTACTGTGGATTGATTTATAAACTCTTGGATGCCGGCAAGTGGAACTCAGTCTATTACATAACTGAAAATACTGACTTTACTGACTTTTGAAATCTAAAATTTAATAAATCTTCTTTTTTATCTTCTTTGGGACTGTATCATTTTGAATGATTTGCCAGAGTTTCGGTTCATCAAAAAACAATGCCAAATCAATAAACCATAATAGGCTGTCTATGCTTGAAACGATATTCCCAATACGCTTCTCATTGTGGAAATTTGGTCAGCATATTCATATGCAGCTTTTATTTTACCATGACGTAAATCCAGCTTCCTTAGGATACTGTCAAGTACTGTCGTGAATATATTCAGGAAAAGCCTTCCCATTAACTTCCATTAAGCTGATTACTCGATTGTTATTGCAATGCGTCCTATCTTTTATGCTAAGAATTGAATTGGATTGAGCCGCCTTGTTCCATTCATTTGGTGTTTTTCTTTCACCTATATGAGTGAATATAATCTTTGCAGATGCACAGTGGAAGACGCAGAACGCTTTAAAGAATTCATGTCATCGGTTATTTTATCTAGAGGTTTTGTGGGGAATTAATGAGGAGAGATTGTGCTGCTTTGCAATTACAACCATATGGCTTCAGTTGTGTTCTATTAATATCCAGTGAAGGAAGGGCGCAATCATATCCAGGATGATGTGTCTTAAGATTAAAGTTAGCTTCAAAGAACTCTCTTCATCAGGAGAAACAATCTTTCATGGTCGATATAATTTCTATCCTTTTTTTTATTATTTCTCGAGCTTCGCTTGCCTTGCGAAGGCAGCATAATTCTTGAAGATCATCTCTCGAGCTCCTGGCTGCATATTAAGGCCATAATTCATAATCGGTTTGTATTCACAAATCAACGGAGTTAATGGAGCTGGCAATAGTTACCATCTCTTGACATACGCTTTTTGGCAGTATTATTTGACTGAACCATCCAAGATGCAGTTCGCCTTCTTTCGAAAAAACCATCATATCCTAGGGAAAATTCAGTCGAAAGCTTCTGGTGGGAATATTTCAGATAGGATCAGTAAAACTATCTAGACTTCCAGAGATGTTATTGTTAAAGCCCTTCAAGTGCTTTAGTATCTCAGTTTGTTCCAATTGAATCGCTATGTTTTGCACTTTATTTTATTACTATTAAACTTTGGCTTATTGGTTTTTTTGGTTCATTTTATTTTTGAGCATTTATTGTATTTATTTGAGTAAAGTACAATATACTTGGCTTGATGTTAACAAACTAGAAACAAAAAAGCAGCGATGCTTTTTCAGTATAATATAACTATGAGAATAAATTTATTTTTTCTAAGGGAAGAATGGGAAGTGGGAAATTAGAAAGTTCAGGTAGAGGAATAAAAGAGTAATATTAGGAAATTCAAGTAAGTGAAAGGAAAGGGAAAAGATATTGACGTGCAAATATAATTTCTATCATCAGGTACTTTTGCTTTTTTATATTTGATTTGTACTAAGTAAGGGAGAAATAACAGTCTAATAATTCGATTGAATGGTAAGCCGCTGCAGCTTTGAATAATCATCATAGTTCCACTATTAATCACTATTAATCATACACCTTTCATTAGAAGTGTTTGGCGTTGAAGAGCTTTGCTGCATTATTCAAACGACTCTCTAGCAAAGCTATCTCACAGCGAGCCAGCAGATGGATGGTGGTTTATCCTTATTTAACTATTGAACTTTTGACTATTGACTATAACTTTTGATTATTTCAGTTCCCTGTCATAAAAAAACCGATGTTTAAAATTTGAAAATAGAGATCTTTTATTTGCCGATGTTTAAAATTTGAAAATAGGGATGTTTTATTTAAAAAAAAATTTTTTTCGTTTTACAGGTTAGAAACTGCATTCTACGATCTTGCCCAAGGATTTTATCAGCAGTGTTTGAAGAATATTCGAGCTAGATCTATTCCAAATAGTTTCATAAATTTAATTGTCCGTCAACAGTTTAAATTGGCTTTCTTATGCGAACTTAAGCAGGACACGCATACTGCCTTAAGGTCTTTTTTTGGGGTTTCATAGTTTAATTTTCTTATATTTGATCAATAACATGTTTGAATATTTTTTGATTCAGGCATTATAAAAATGCTTATCATCATTGTACTGAAGCTGAAGTCTCAAATAATGATTTGTTCGAAATTCGCCTCGTTTCTGGATTAATCAGTTTTAAAGTGCGATTTAATTCGTTTTTAGATTTTCGCTAATTTTTTTTTGGTTTTTTGGTTTTCTTGCCATATTTTTGTTTCCATTTTTTCCATCATCAGTTTTTTCTCTTTTATCGGTTATCATTTCAGATTTGCCAGTTATCATTTCTTCACAATTCAGCTCTGGACGCAATTTGGCAACAACAAAGGCATATTTCGACATTCTTCAATTCTGCATCTGGTTCTTATCCTTCTCCCCAGTTGGCTATTATTGAACATAATTTATGGAAAAGTAAACAGGTGCTTTTTTTGATAGGAATATATTTGATATTCTCTTATGTTTTGAAGCAAGTAAGAATAACTGATTGTTCTTAGAATTCAAATGCAAATTTTAGTGCGCAAAATTTGCCGAATTATTCGAACGTGCAGTGTCATCAGGCCTTGCAGCTGTATCGACTCAGCATCCTGGACTTCACTGGCATGCAGCTGCTGATTATTATCGCATAGCGAATGTTTATATATCAACGTTATGGAGTATGCAAGGGAATTATTCTTTTTCTTATCCGGATCCTGATCCTCTTTCATCGTTACAACCGTTTATATTTTATGGTCAACGTCCATGGCGAGCGGGTATCGAAGATGGTAGTCTTGCTAGTGAAGCAGTTGAAAAAAATGCACAACTCGCACTAATGGTTCTTTTTTATATTTTTATTTTCTAATATACCTATTGATTTGGATATATAATGTATATATTATTATGATATTAATAATAGCATTATATCTACCAATTGTCTTGAAAATCATTTTCTTTCTTTATAATTAGATTGTTCACAGTTTTTTCAAACAAATTTAGGTTAATTTTTCTACCGATTTGGAGATTAATTTAAGTATTTCGAATTTCATAAAATTTAATAAAATTGATTTGACATAATGATGTTAAATTGATTGAATTTGTAAGTATAAAAACTTTTCAATCATTTGAAGAAATGGATAGGACTCGAAGGTTTCACTTTTACCAACATCGCAGTTTTCACACTTCTTTTATATCCTTACTTTTACGATAATAAATAAATGGGCTTACTTTAAGAAAAATTTGAAAGCATTATATTATATTTTTTTGCATTCATAATTATTTTTCTTTGTTTTCGCTTGAATATCAATCCAAAAACCATATTTAATTACACCATAAAACCATATTTAACCATATTTTTTTTTAGTTGCGTTATATTCCGGATCATACTCAATGTATAGCTTGGTTGACATCTGCGTTAAATCATTATAAAAAATACAAGTGTCAGAGAACGCAACGGTATATTATGGTTCTAATGGCTGATGAATACGCATCACTAAACCAGCATGTAAAGGCTCTTCAAGTTGGCTTTTTTTGTTTTTTTTTTTCATGATCTTACAATATTTAAAATTTATGATTTTTCATTTTAGAAGTAATGCTTAGTATTTTCTAATATTATTGCAGCTTTTGTCACATATGCTTTCGGAATGCCGCATAGAAAGATTCTTTATGCCATTAGCGACACTTTTAACCAAAAGTTTAAATTATTCATTCATTATTGCTGATGTAAAAGAATTTATGTCAGTTAGCATTCAAATGATGAATATTAGAAACTTTCCGTGTTTCACTGGAGTTGCTGATGAAATTATTTCAAATTTCAATCTTGTTCGTGCTGGTCAACCACCGAATTCACTTAGTATCATGACGATAAGTCAAGATCAAGTTAAGTTATTATTTAATCAAGAAATCTTATGAAAATTGATATTGATATTTCCAAGCTTCTGGATCCGAGGCTTGGTCTGAAAATTGGAGAAGCGACAATTTTTTCAACTGTCTAAGTGCATCTAAGTGCATCTTTCTACACCTTCTTTATCGTCCATTTCCTGGTTATCCTTAATATAAATAATAGGATTAAAATTTTATTCATCTATTTCGTAAAATCTTGATATATCAGAATATTTATTTATGCTGTGGCTTTAGCTATTGCAGTCTGCAAAACAGTGGACAGCAGTCTTAAAGGAGCCAACTTTTTTCTCGTTAAATGCTGTTAATATAAATGCTTTTGTTCAAGCTCGGGCTTTTTTTATCAGTGTTGGTGATTCTATTTGTGCTGGCGATTTACTTCCGCTAATAGTATGTTTATTTTTATTCACTGGAATAATTATAGTTATATATAAATTACTTTCTTTGTTTTCCTATAATTAAAAATATTCATCCAGGTAGAATGGAGATATTTAATTTTTCAAAGATTTTAAAATTTTCTTCATTTTATTCTTCATTTTAAAGATAATATTATGTTCCTATACATGTACGAAAATCGTATTTAATCGACTGAAAATAAATATTGGTGAAATACTGCCATCACAGCAGCAAAAATGTCAAGTTCCAATTTATGAATTTTCACTGAATGATATTGAGCTGAATCCAAACGAGGAAAGAAGTTTCTTATGTAATGTGGAACTTTCTCCAGCAGATTATCCCAGCTTCAGACGTATTTCAGTAAATTTTTATTATGTCATGTTATTTATCACTTTACCATTTAGATGATTTAATTGAACATTCGTTGATTTTCTATTTTCGCACAAATTTCATAAAACAGCATAAATTTCATAAAACATAAAATTTATAATATTTTGAACTTTTGTGGTATTGTATTCTTTTTTTTTGCAAAAAATTGACATATCTATTTTTAAGGTAAATAATTTGTGCTTAGAATTGGGTTCGATACATTCGACAGTCTATGGAACACTTGACTGGAATTCTGCATCTCTTTTGACGCCCTTTTCATTTAATGACATTTCTAAAAATTCTTTAATGGATCGCAGTTCGGGCTGCCCAAGTATAGAGTATGATGAATTTTTTTCTTTTGAGTTCAGATTTGGTGCTCCTTATTTTTTTATCAGAAATTGTATTAGTCGGAAATCAGAATTTACTTGTTGTGAATTCAAAAATTATCTTTTTTAAACAAAAATCTTATAGTGTTAGTCCCCGTGCTGCACGATTTCGATTAGTCAGTGATTGTAAAGCTGAAGCATTGTTAGGTGAAATCGCTCATCTTCATCTGTGTTTTGTAAGTGATGAAAGCTTTCCTGTAACTAGTGCAAGGTATTTTTTTATTTTATATTGAAAAATTACTTAAAACATGGATGTTTATTTTCTCCAGTGGTGTCTTAAAATTTCTTGCATTTTATATTAAATCCATGCGTATTGTTTGCATATATATTTTGTAAATAACGCAAATACAATACAATAATACTTGGTTTATTGAGAATTCCAAAGTTTGTGTGATAAAATAGTGATTATGGGACATTTGTTAATTGTGCTGAAAAAGTAAATTTGATTGTAATGAAGAATTTTTGCTGAAAATGAAAGTGCTTGCAGTAATTTTGCAGCATTTCGTTAGATATTTTACAATTCAAGTTTCTTTAGTTTAAAGCGGAAAAAATATTACTACGTGATTTTTGAGATAATTTATGCCTTACGAACAATCTTCAATTTATACAGTTTTCTCTCTTCAAATTTCCCTTTTTTTGCAATTCCATCTACTTATAAAACTTATATATCTAAGGATTTCAGATTTGATTGGAGTGCAATGAAAAATGGAGAAAATAGTACGAACTCTTTGATGTTTTTGAGTCAAGAAAGTCAATTAGTAACAAGCGATTATCGTATTTTTGGAAACGATGGTTCTCATAAGGATATTAAAGATGTACATTTTATCGAGTAAAAGTAATTGGAGTATATGATGAGATTATATTATAAGAAATATTTGGGATTATAAATTTATTTTATTGTTTAAAAATCCAGATAAGCGATGTATATTCGAATATGGGGATATATTTTATTTTTCACGGAAAAAAATTATACATATATATGTATAATATATCTAATTATTGATATGGATTAAAATTGTTGATTAAAAATTTTTTATTACAGTTGTTTTCAGGTTGATTTCATCATCAATTATTGCGCACAGTCACTTATTTCACAAGCTATTTCTATCACGGTTTGTTCCAAATGTCCTTAACAAAATAAGAATTTTAAAAATGTTTAATAGAATAACTCAGCAAAATTTAGGTAAGTATAACTGTGGATGGAACGATTGCTAAAGCCAATTTCGTTGTTCCTGTTTTTGCCATTTCACCGTTTAAAATTAATTCGACCATCCTTACAATGAATGTTCGTTCTATAATTTCAGTAATTTCTGTATTCGTTATCTGAATTTTATTTGCTTAAATACTCTACATAAATTATAGAATGATGTTGTGGACAAACCATTTAGAGGAATAACATTTTTCGCTCGTTGGGATATTGAAGCTGTTGCTAGCATTATTGTTAACGAAATGTTTTTAGAACCGGTTGGTATTTATACAATTATTTTTTCTCTAAAGTATTAAGTATTAATAAATCTTTCATCAACGATGTATAAATTTCTTTTGAATTCATTGATTTGTTTTTATTTTATTCGCCTTTTGGTCACTAGTTAGGATAATGCTATAACGCTTATGAAAGTGCATCAGAGTCATCTTTTATATTTAAAAATTTGTCAAATTTTTGTTTTTTTTAAATCTGGAAATTTAAAGAATTTTCGGTGAAAATTTGAGAAACTAAAGTAAAAATTTTGACACCATTTGCTTCAAATTTTTTCTTTTTTTTCTGGAGTTTCGTTGAGATGGAGATAACGATTTTTAAAATTCAGTTATAATAATATTTATACTCATAAATTTTAATATTTTGTGATTTTGTGATTGTGATTTCAATTTTTCTGATACCAAATTTTTTTCTTCCATTTGCCAAACAACTTCATGTTTGATTTTTGGGGTTTATCACGTCCCTAGTGGTATAATTATTTCAACGATTTAAGTCATCAATATTAGTCAATAACTGGAATTCTGATAAGATAAAAAACGATCTTATCAATAATTTATTGCCCCATCATCGTTTTTTTTTCGGAATTAATTCCATTGGCAATAATTCTGAAAAAAATTTTAGTGATTAGCATTGAAAACGTTATCATTTTTGTATTATTAAGTCTTTTTTTTGTTTTTTTTGCATCAACATAAATAGAAGAATAGTGGTATAGATAAATTGTCCAAAATTTCATAATACAGTTCGATTATTAATTACTGTCAAAAAAAAGAAGGGATGGAACGATAGGAATTATATTGATGAGAACAGAATAGAATACATTTTTTGCTGGAACGTAATAATTTTTATGGAAAGAAAAAGAAAAATTTCCGTTATGGCAAAAGAAATTCATAAAAATATTTTTGCGAATTTTTATATTCATTTATATTAAATTTGTATGAAGAAATTTCAACATATCTTGAATAATTGGCATATTAATTTATGTTTACTTCTAATGATATATTATCGGGATATCTTTCGGGGTCGATGAAAGCTTTTCTCAAGGTTATTAGATTCTGAGACAGGAATTGGACCCATATAGATCTCAGTCGTTGCAATATATCTTTTCAAATATATATTATAAACAAATATGAATGATTTTTAGGAATGTGGATTGGAAGTTGACTCGGTCGATGAAAGCTTTTCTCAAGGTTATTAAATCTATCAAAATAAAATAATAAATACAATAAAAATTATTTATATTTCATAGAAGAGTTTAATGGAATGAATTTTCAATGAAATTTTCGGTTCATTTGCTGTTTCGAAAATGTGGAGATAAAGGAGTCAATAGATTAAAAGAATTTTCGTATTGCAGATGAAGAATTTACTGAGGGCGAAGTGCTAAGTCTCTGTGTTCCTTTACGTTTTAAGACAGTTGATGATGGGAAACAATGTAAAATTGGAAAAGTTTGCATACGCTGGCGAAGGTTTTTATATCACATATATATGTTATATTAAGTTTTTTGTTTTACCAGGCTTTTTCTAAAATGATAAACTAATATCGATCTAGATATTTAAGATCCACTATATAAATCGAAGTTGATAAGGGTGTAAATGTTCATTTTGGCTGAATCATGAAGAGATTTATGACATATTCAAGGTTTGATTCTCAACAAGTCTTATCGCAGTTAGATGCAGGATCTGTTCAACTTCGTGATCCACCATTTAGCGTTATTGCACATATTTCTACCTCACTACATACCGTACGAACTGCCATTCCAATTATTTTCGAAATTTCTAATAAGCATCGAGAAGTTATCGACTTACAAATCACTCTTGAAACTGCTGATTATTTCATGTTCGCTGGTAATAAAAAGGTAAATTGAATTTTCAGTTATTATTATTTTTTCTTCTATCGTCATTTAAAAATTTTCAAGTATTTCTTCGATTTTTCAATTTGGATCATTTGGAAAAAAATAATGATAATAGAATTATTTTTAATTTTTTTAGGCCAAATATAATATTTTTTCAATGTAAAAATGCTTCAGCAAATGTAATAAATAACTATTGTAAGTTTTAAAAAAAAAAGTATAGAATATAAAAAATTCAAATAATTAGAAACGGCAATAATCGTGGTGTGTATGAAAATAAATTAGAATTTGTTATCTTTTTATTTAATAGATTTAAGCAGATAGTTGTGTTGATTTTTATATTTAAATTTTTGATTTATTTTTTATCCTTTCCAGATTATTTTAAAATTGCTTAGAACATTCAATATGCGTATGGATAAACGTGTATTCCAATCTATTTTTCGGAAAATATTTTGTTTTTTCTTGATATTTAATGGGGATTTATTTAATCTGAACGATTTTCAGGAAAAAAAATCATAATTTCACTTTTTAATTTTA